TGAGTGCACACCGCCTTTTGGGCCCTCGGGGATCCAGAGATGGAGAAGTCATAGGCCTGGCTGTCGAGACGCTCAAGGTGACGTGGAAAACTTAGTGGTTGTGTTGTTCGATGCCCTTGGCTGCCAAGAGGGCCTGCCCACCAGGTGACTGTTTGTCCACTTAGAGCCTTTATGTGCTGAGTCTTAGGTGTCCAGTGCGTCCTGTGGGTGGTGAGCACCCCATGTTCCAGGTGCTTAGAGATTCCCATGGTGAGTTAGTCATGCAGTGCTTTGAAACTGAAGAGGAGGCCAGCCCAGTGAGTTTGTCGGTGAGTATTAGAGTCTACTGAATGCCGGGTAAGGAAGGAAGGAGCTTTAGAAAATTACGTGTGTCCTGGCCGTCGAGTCCCACTGTGAAGTTCAGATACACTGGCGTGAGGATAACTTCACCATAAGTTTTAGTAAGTATGTCTGAGAACACAGCTTGGGAACCAGGGGCCTTAGGTTCCTATCACTTCCTAAGTATCTGACCTTGGACAAGTGACTTAACCTCTAAGTCTCAGCTTCCTTAACTTGCAAGAAGAGAGAAGGTGCTAAGAGATGTTGAAAGGGCGAGCCACGGCTGGCTGCTGGGGTGGCGAGGGAGGGCTTCCCGGAGAAGGCGTGAACACTGGCAGGTGGGCACGCGGTGGGGAGGCAGACAGGAGAGAGAGAAGGCAGCGAACCGAGGCCAGGGTAGAAGAGTCGATGAGGACGGCCGCACAGAGAATACAGAGACCTTGTGGAGAATGGGAGGAACCATGTACAAGGTCATACGAGGAAGGTTTTTATTATAAATCACTTTTTCTGATTGTTTTATGAGCTCCTTTAGGTCAGAGAGGGTCAGATGAGTGAAATTGAGGTCAGCAACATATAACGGCTAATTGTAGCTACCATAGAAAGCTAGCAGAAGCAGGTTGGATTCTACAGATAATGTGGCATCCTTGAAAGTTCTGGAGCCAAGAAAGGTGTAACAAGAGCTGTGGTTAGGATCTGTGCAGTGGATTGGAGGCAAGAGGTCCGTGCCCTGGTTCTCCATAGACAGAGAGCTCTTGAAGCTGAGCCGCCTTTCACCGTAGCTGCTAGCCACATGCGGCTCATTCAACTTGAATTTAATTAGAATTAATAAAATGACAAATTCAGTTGATCGGTCACATTTACCACACTGTCAGTGTTCGGGAGGTACCTGTGGCTAGTGGCTCCCCGTTTGGACAGTGCAGGTAGAGAGCATGTCCACTGTCTTGCAGGAACATTCTGAGTGCCCAGCATAGGGCCAGATGCGCAGCGGGGCCCAGGGGATGATGTGGCATGGCTCATCACGGGGACAAGGGGGCCAGAACTGGATGGTGACTGAGGAACTGGGGAGGAAAGGATCTCGGGAAAGGTTAGGACTCAGTGGCCAATGAATGTGGATGGGGCTGCATACCAAAAAGAAAGGGCGAAGGACCTGGGACGGTTGAGATCATCTGTCCTTGGAATTTTTGCGTTGTTTCAAAAACATTTCCTCCGTGCGCCTGTTATTTCTGGCTGGCGACGTTGTCTTTGCTGCCACTGCGTTTCCAGCACAGTGCAGCCTTTGTGTCATCTGCCCTCCTCAGGGGGCTTACAGATGTACGGAGGAAGATAGCACTAGCTCAAGCTTCCACAGGCAGGGGGCCTGAGGGCTCTTGCCGGGGTGGTGCATGAAGGAACCATCCGAAGGTTTGGAGAGCTAACTCCAGGCCCATCATTTGCAGTCTTTTCCTCTACAGGGTGGGGGGAAATCCTGCTGCTGTGAACTTGCTGGCATATTCCTGGTAGGAGCTGCTCGCTCCTACCCGTTGATATGAAGGAGAATGTCTCTTACTGTCTGAAATACTTTCGGACATTCCTTCTCTCTGAGAAAAGCCTACGCCTCCTAGCCAAACAATACATGCCCCAGCAGCAGAGACATTTGTACTGAGCCCTGCCAGCATTTCTTGCCTGTGACCCCGTTCCCGCAGTAGAACGCCTGCAGAGCTGGAATTTCCCTCTCCTCAGCATTCTGTGTGTAGGGGAGCACCGGGGGGAGCTCTCGCTGGGAGGTGTATCAGGTGAGTTACTTGTATTCTTAATGCTCTGAAGGATGGTGTTTGGGACGAGGCCCTGCCGAGCTGTGAAGCACAAAGCAAAAAAGAACAGGGCCTTGGCACAACTCTGGGGTCTTGGTGACTCTTGACCAGGAGTTCAAAGTGAGGGAAGGACGTGAGGGAGAGCCAATAGTTAAGTCTCCGATCTTTCCGCCTTCGCAAACTTCACTTTGCCAGGAATGGGGTCTGTATCCGTCCAGCTTTGCCCGCCACCCTGAAGCCACGGGGTAGGCCATCGTGCCCTCTGACCCAGGCGTCCTGCCGCAGGACGCCGAACGTGGAGCTTCTCAGTGCAGCTCTGTCGCTTCGTAGACACGTGGCCGCAAACAAGTCATCCCTCTTCTCTATGTCTTGACCCCTTCGTCAGAAGCATGAAATTGTAAGAATTAAGTGAAAAAACAGAGGGGCAAGCTCTCCAAAAACTCTAGGGCACCATTCAGGAGGAAGGTATCATTAACATGTATTTATTTAAAACAACACTCATTGAGTGCCATTGGTGGACTAAGCATTCAGGGGCTGAGACCTGACGTTGACAGGTTGATGGCTCAACTTGAGGCCCAAGGTTTGGTTCTTAACTTTGCGCATTCCGAAACTTCAGTTTATTAGCACACCAGGGGATGGTCAAGTTCTGAGAAACCAACTTATGCTAACCAAACTTACAAGGAACTGACTTGTAAACCAGAATAGACATTTATGAATTCACAGTGGAGCCTTTTACAGCAGAGACCAGGTCTTCCTCTGTTTGTCATGGGGTATTTGTCTAACGTGATCTTCCTACTCTCCTGCTCCCTACTCCCCTCCTCTGCTTTCACTGATCCTCTGAGGCCCAGCTTGGTGGCGTTTCTTCCAGGAAGACCTCCTTGGACCCCCAGGTTGTGCTGGGCGCCCCTCCCGTGTATATGCACATGTCCATATGTGCATGCATCTGCAGCAGCCTGTAGATCCCTCTAGTGCGGAACCTGCCCTGCGTCCATCCGACCCCCTGGAATGTAATCTCGCTCCAAGGCAGGAGGCATGTCTGGCTTATTTCTGCATTCCCAGGACTTAGCACTGACCAGGCACAACAAATACTTGTTCATCTAAATGAAATTAACGGAAACTCCTCTTGGGAGCCTTCACCGGCACCCACCTTTTCTGTGGTGACAACTTTACATTCATTCCTTTTTTTTTTTTTCCCTAGAATTGTCATCGCGCCTGCTAGACAAACCACAGTCCCCTCAGCCATCACTGTGCAGAGCCAAGGGACTCGAGGGTTGATCTCCATGTAGAAGTAGTTCAGTTCGTTTCGGCCAGTCCCCATCAGTTTGGGATTCTTTTCAGAGCCTATGCCTGGGGCTCCGATTCTCTGATTTTGGGTGAGATGTAGCATCAGAAATACTAAAACCATACCATTTAGTAACTTTCTGTTTTCTCTTTTTTTTTTTTTTAAAAGATTTTTATTTATTTGAGAGCGAGAGAGAGAGAATGAGAGAGAGAACACGAGAAGGGGTAGGGTCAGAGGGAGAAGCAGACTCCCTGCTGAGCAGGGAGCCCGATACGGGACTCGATCCCGGGACTCCAGGATCATGACCTGAGCCAAAGGCAGTCGCTTAACCAACTGAGCCACCCAGGCACCCCCAGTAACTTCCTGTTTTCTCATCTGTAAGATGGCTTGGCCTGCCGGGAAGTTTCATGAAGATCAAGTGCCTGACATTAGCCAGAATGCTCTGTCCACAGCAGAGCCCATCCCAGGGCCGATGTGTCCGTTTTGTTACTGTCATTTCATATCCTCATGCGGGGCTGCCTTTCAAAGGCCAGGACCCTGTGACCAAGAGTGTTTGGTAGAAGATGGGCAGGTGCATTTATAGGCTAACCTCTTTGGCTGCTTCCAAGAGTAGAGTAGAACATAAATTAGAACCCAGAAATATGGGTTCCCAGACCACTGCATTTTATTTGCTTAAAGCCCAGTGTGCCCCAGAACCCCCATGGGAGTTGGTTAAAAGACGGGGTGGTTCCTGGAGGCTGCAGGAGTTTGACTGGCTTTCTTCATGTGTCATTTGGACAAAACGCCGCCTGGCCTGCAGAGCTGTGGGAGCTGACGCCACGGTGTAGCCTCGCACCTGGCCATGGTCTCTGCCACGCGGCAGGCGCTCAGCAAATGACAGCAAATGACAGTGCTGTTGATGAGAAGCCTGCCCTGAAGGCAGCTTCTCCACCCGCCGGGCCCGTGCTGCCCACAGAACTCTGCCTCTGGAATCCACAGGGACTGGACGGCCATCTCCCACCTCACAACCGTGGTGGAGCCTGTGGGCGGGGTGATGGCGGTGGTCCCCCTGGGCCTCCTGCTTGCCCCCAGGGCTGGTAGGGGAGCTCTGACAGGGAGTCCTGTTTCCCTGACTCATGCCTGCTCTCCCTTCTCGCGATGCCTTCACCTGCTGGGAGGAAGGGCTGCCGAGCGACGGTATTCTGACTTCCCAGTGACATGTGCTTTAGCAAAGCCAAAGCGGCCGCCCTGCAGTTAGCCGCCAGGGCAGGCAGGGGCAGAGGTGACGTCAGGGTAACCTCGGGCTGGTAGGGACGTGGGGCACTCCCGGCCTTATGAAGATGGGCATGGGGCAGAGGGATTTGGGTCCCGTCCCAACTTGTAAAGATGTTATTATGTTCCTGGGCAAGCTGTAGTTCCCTCCACTGCAGAATCTTGGTAGTATGTGCCCCCACTTAATCCTCTTGTGAGGATTAATTTATCCTTCGGAAGCTGGGGGAAGCTTCCAAAAACCACCAGTTAGATGCTCCCCTCTCCCCTCTTCCGAACACCAGCAGGGCCCCTTTCTTTGGGTGCTTATCCCAGTCTACCCTGCAGGGTGGCTGGTCGTGTCCTTGATTGGTTTCACCGGCCCAAGGAAGTGCTGCAGGCAGCACCTGCTGGCTCCTGCTAGGCGGGGTTTCAGGGTCTCATGCCAGGCCCTTGGGGACCTGGGCCCGCTTTCCGGAAACTTTGCAGCCTGCCCTGCCCTTCGTGCCTGTTGCTCTCGAAGCTCCTCCTGTGTGTACACACGCGGGTCCCTCTACCTGGCTTCTCCCCCTCATGCCCCCCCCTTGCCTCCTCAGGCAGCTATTAGCATGACCAAAGAATGTTCAGAAAGCAAAATGCTTTGACAACATGGGCTAACTGCGGCAGCTGCCGACTGTCACTGGTGGGTGAATGGGTGGCAATTTGACGGAAATAGGAGTCCTTCAGGCTGTCGATTTCAACCAGAATGGGGTCCTCATTGCTCGGGATCTGTTCCTTGGTGGCCAGCTGTTTTCCCTCACAATGTCATGCTCACCCTGGTGCTTGTTCCCCAGGCCCACAGAAACCCGTAGGAGTGAAGTGATTAGAGGAACTTCAGCTGTTTTGGTCTCTCTGAATGGCCCTCTTTCATCTGGATACGCAGGGACAAGGGCCTTTTTAAACCCAAACATCAGGGGAAGACCAGAGTCCCACAAGAGCCACTCGTGCTCTGGGTGGGACCATCATCCGGACACGGGGACTCCGGCCCCTTCCTTCCCTTTCTCCGGAGGGAGTGCAGGGCAGGCGCTCAGGGGCAGTTAAAGATGCGAAGCCGGTTGTCATGAACGTGTTTTATTTCACGGACTTCTGCGTCTCCCTTCAGCCAGCTCACAGCTTCCGCTCTTCGGAGGTTTCCAGCCCAAATTAGTACGTATCACCACCCGACCTCTCTGTTCCTGCCACGAATCGGTTTCTGGAGGACCCTGGCCGTTTATGCTCTGAGCGCTGGGGTTTTTCGTCTGTCCTCAGTGCCTTGTAGAAAACTCTTAATGCTTGTGTCATCTCCTGAAACGGACGGTGACCAGTGTCTGAGAACATATTTGTACCGCAGAGATAAAAGCGTTGGGGTGGGGGTGATGGGGGGCGGGGGGAGGTGGCGCAGGGAGGGCTGGGCTGAACTCGTTTTTTACTCTCCCATCAAGGTTTTTCTTAAAGCGATGGAGGAAAACAGTTGTTTTATTGGTCTGGGTCTGACCTTTCTGGAACTTCAGTCACAGACTTTTTAGGACAGCATTTTGGGGGAGAAGGCTGGTTTTTCTGTAGCTGGGATGCGTGGTTTGTAGGTCTGTACTTCCTTGCTCCGAGAACCTAGTAAAGTGGGTGTGCCATCCCCAAAATGGATTCTTTTTTTTTTTAGGATTTTATTTATTTGGGAGAAAGAGAGAATGAGCAGGGCAGGGGAGGAGGGGCAGAGGGAGAGGGAGAAACAGACTTCCCGCTGAGCAGGGAGCCCACCGCAGGACTCTAGCCCAGGACCCTGGGATCATGACCTGAGTCGAAGGCAGACGCTTAACCCACTGAGCCACCCAGGCTTTCCGCCAAAATGGATTTCTCACAAATCGGGGTACCACGCTTCCCTGTATTAGGAGCCTGGCACAGAGAACCCCATGGAGCCCTGGCAGCGGGAAACGGTGTTCTCATCAGCCACCCAGAGGATGCGTGAGGCTCAGGGCCTGGAGTGAGCTCAGAGCAGAAGACAGGAAACGGGGTCACAAGGAATATCTGCATTTTGTTTCTGTAAATGCTGTGACCGCCCGTGCTCTACAGCCTCTTGGCCCCAAGAGTCATCGTATGTGGTCACGCTCGGGCTGCATCTGCTTACTGTCTCTCCAGATGCAGGGCGGTCTCACAGGCCTGGGACAGAGAATGTGCTTTGTGGGCTTCCCAGCAGCTTTAAATCTTGCTCTTTACAGTAAACACTGGTGCCTCATTGCCAGGAGGGCAGCCGCAGTGTTCCAGGGCCCCCATCCACGCGGCCCCTGACTTCATATGTAGATGGGGGCTCTGATTCTTTAGCAGTCACAGGAACACTGAGAAACAACTGGCCTTGTAAGCCATCACGGGATAAAACCAGCCTATTCTTTTGCATTGTTCCCCTTTTTTTTTTCCCAAAGGAAATGTAAGGGAAACCAAGGGGAATTTTTGCTCATGATTTCCAAGGCAAAGGTCACCGTTAATGGCTGACTGTTTCCAGAGTGTTCGGGCTTCTGGTCAGTATGGATTTTTTTTTCCTTTTTCCTTTTTCTTTTTTTGTGGGGGCGGGGAGAGAGGGAGAGAGAGAATCTTAAGCAGGCTCCATGTCCATTACGGAGCCAACACGGGGCTCGATCTCATGACCCTGAGATCATGACCTGAGCTGAAATCAAGAGTCAGACGTTTAACCGACTGAGCCACCCCAGGCGCCCCTCCGTATTTTTTTTTTTTTTAAGATTTTATTTTTAAGTAATCTCTATACCCAGCGTGGGGTTTGAACTCACAACCCTGAGATCAAGAGTCCCAGGCCCACAGTTGGGGATACTAAATGAGGAAAAGCTAAAAGCTGTATGGATGTTAAAGGATTGGTAAGTGAAATCTACAAAACCGTCAATAATTCAAAGGCCCAAGAGAGGCAGCCCTGAGCCTTATCATTGGGCATTTGAGCAGAGTCACTATTTTTGGCGTGAGAACTCAACCAGCAGAAGGCACAGATTTTATTGTAGACTTCATATGATACAAGATCACTGTTTTTCTGATTCCAGGAGCCGCTGAGTTCAATGTGGTGAGTTTTCTAGAATTGTGTATTAGACTTAGCTGAGGTTTTTATTCCAGGATTTAGAACATTTAACTACTAACGTTAGACTTCTGGGGAGAAGGTGATCTTGCTTTTTTTATATTTACAGAAAATGTCCCTGTATTTGTCAGGAATCGATTTGCTTCCTGTTAAAACAAATGCACACAAAAAGTGCTGCTTTTTCTTGGAGATTTTCCCTTCAAATCATGTGTATGTTAATTGGTTGCTCAAGACAGAATTAATGATTTTTACAGTTCCCTTTGTTGTGAACTATGATCTTTCACAAAATTGATAGAAATAAAATGCTTTTCCATTATAACATACAGTATATGTCTTCCCTTATTCTGAAAATCAAATAAAAAATAATCATTTTTAAAAAGTTAATATTTGCTCGGTATAGAAAATTTGGAAGATACACCAAGAAGCAGAAAGAAGATAATCGTAGGTGGTCCAATCCTCCCCCCGCCCCCCAAAAAAATCAGTGTTAATAATTTTAGTGCAATTTATGGGTAATTTGCAGCATTAACAGTGTTTTTGAGTAATTGGTAGTAACTAGTAGCTAATACAGTCAGTTTATAGTCTTAATTTCTGTGTAAGCTAAAGACTTTTTTTTGATAGCCAAATCATGAAATGTTTAAAATTTAAATCGTACGTTCTCAAGTTGTATGTCAAATGTCAATGTTATTACTGGTTTAAAATAACAAAAACCAAAGGTTCCTTTTGCTGAGAAATTCATTGTGGCAACTGGAGATTCTTTACCACAGCAGTGACACTGTAACCTTGACGAAGCTAAATCACGGGGTCAGTAACCACCGGCTTTTGTTAAGATGCAAATCAGTGAAAGTATAACTTCCTCTTCTTCGTATTCCAATCAAGGGAAGGCACCAAGATCAGTGAAGTTGTCATAGTCAGGGAGTCACAAAGATTCCACAGTGAGAGTGCGAAAAATTCACAAAATTCAGAGAGTTGCTCTCTGTATCTTTAGGAGACGTGATGCAGGGAGATCCTTTTAGAGTATCTTGCAGGAGGAAGGGCTGTCAGCCTTGCAAGAGCCCCAAGGACTCGGGTGTTCTAGCCGAAGCCTGAGTTCATCACACAGACTCCATCAGCAGGCTTGTAGCGAAGGTGAGGGAAGAGTGCAGCGCAAAACTATCAGAATAGCCCTTTCGTCCCGTGTGCATCGTATGTGACATTTGCCTGCACCAAAGCTTATCCTCTGCTGCGTGTCTTTGCCCATGTTCCTCTCTGAATTCCAGCCTGACTGTGCTCTGGTTTTATCCTTCCCAGCTTAAGTGAGAGCTTTTTCATGGTGAAAGGAGCAGCACTCTTCTTACAGCAGGGAAACAACCCTCAGAGCCAACGAAGCCTTCAGCATCCCCACAAGCATGCAGGTAAATTGAGGTTCTTCCCTGGAAATTTATTTTCTGTGCAATGGGGGAGGCTTCCATTGCTGGTGGTGAGCAAGTTGCTGGTTTTCAAGGCCAGAGGAATAGCGGAACACAGGCTCAGCACGTGTCCAGTGCAAAGCAGAAGCTCTTTTCTTGAGCAGGTAAGCCATGCGCCTTTTCCAGGGAGCACCGAGAGCTAGCGCCCCACAGACTGTGCATGTCCACGCAAGAAATAAGGCAGTCGGCAGCGTTCTGTTTGGATGTGAGGATTTCCCACCACAGTTTATCAGTTAACTGCAGATTTTAAGTTGCAGTATGATTTTTTTTTTTTTTAACTAATGCACCAGAACCTGTGATAGCCAGACGTTGTCCCCTTGAAAATAACCACCTTGGGATGCCCTATACCTCCTCTGAGGACTTTCGTCATTTCTCTGAGCATCTGGAAAGCTCTCATTTGGGGAATTTCTTTACGAGTCTTCAGCAGGCATTGGGGTGGGAAATCTTTATGATTTATCAGTGGATTTGGTTTCTGGAAGTAGACTGAAGTGATAAAGTGGGGATCAAACCCAATATTCATTTAGGTCCAATAGCACATGAGTAAGAAATGCCTATATGGTAACAGAGACTGGTTTTCTTAGGTGACTGGACTCTGATACCGAAGGCAGTTTGAAGAGAGGAACCAGAAAACATTGTGTACAAGGGAATCTTTGTAATAGGCCCGTAGCCTCTGCGGGCACTTCTGGGACGGGCTGCGCATTTCTTGGTGCGACCTACAAAGGCCTCTGACCCTCAGAACAACAAGCAGGTGAAAGCAGCCAGCAGTCGGGGCTAGTTTTCTTGTCCCTGTGATCGTTTTGTCTCTCACCTCAAGTCCTCTCGCCTCATTTTGGACCTGAGTGCCTAGGTTAGAATTTCGTGTCTTACACTTTACAGCAAACACCAGGGGTCAGTTGGGATTTTCGCATGCTGATACTTGGAATCAAGATTTAGCTCTGTTTGAAGCTCGGAGAACAGTTGTCCTGCACAAGGAGGCAGTGTGGTTTGGGGCAAGAATGTGTGTTTTAGAGCCAGACAGACCTGGCTTCTGATCACAGTCCTACAACTTACTGAGCAGTCACCTCTGAGCCTCAGTTGCCCGATCTTTACAATGGGCATCAAATACCGGTACCTCAGGCAGGATGGAATTTAAAATGTATGCATGTAGGGGCGCCTGGGTGGCTCAGTTGGTTCAGCATCCGACTCTTGATCTCGGCTCAGGTCTTGATATCAGGGTCATGAATTTAAGCCCCCTCAGCGTGGAACCTACTTAAAAAAAAACTGTATGCATGTAACCTGTTTACCATCTCATGGGCGCTCTGTGTATGGTAGTTCTGATTATTACTACAATGACTTCAAGTACCGTAATACTATAAACAGAACCTTCTCTCTTGAATCTGCTAATGGTTCTGCCCTGTCAGGAATTTAACCAGTGTTCGTTGGTTAAATACATACAGCAAAGCGAATGCTCCAGCTTTGTTCACCCGTAGTATACAGTGTCTCCATCCTCTGATTCTAACAGTGTTTTCATACTCTCTGGAGCTTGGGGAAGCAAGCACAAAGCCATGTAAAAACCATAAGTCAGGCTGGTTCGTGTATCTCTGGAACGTACAGGAAAGTAAGAAGAAAGCTTCAGACTTGGTGGCTTTTCTGCCCCTGAGGTCTAGAATGGCCAATGAGCTCAGCAAAGCAAGAGGGACCGTGACTGTCCCAGGACTCTCAGGAAATGTCCCTGGGGCAGGCACAGACTGGCCTTTCCATCAGTTCCTATTTTTCTGGAATCACTGTCGAGTGCCCTGGACGGCCCCCAGTCCCATCCACAATCACGCAGAGCTGAGAAAGAGTGAGGCTTCATTCTGCCCATGCAAGACTCAGGTCATTGCAGCCAGTCCCCGGTTCGAGACTCTGGCGAGGGCCTCTACCTCAGGCTTACAGTCTCTGATCTTTCTGCAAGTGCTGAATGAACACTTCAACATATAGAGGCGCTGTGTGGACGCCAGGCTGCAGCCGGGAGTTCTGTCGGTCAGCAATTCCACGTCTCCACAAGCATCCCGCTGAAAGGAGCCTAGCTGTGTGGAAAATGTCCCTTTCATTTGGGCACTCACCAGACAAAGGGGCTTGTTTTTGCTTTCCTCTGTGTGCTTCTGTGACTTGGAGCAGACGGTGGTGGCGTGCAGGCGAGCCCAGGACCAGCCGAGGCGGGTGTGTGCCCCTGGGGCCGTGGGGTCACCGCAGGCGAGGGTGCTGTTGGGTAGAGGAGGGGGGACAAGGAGCTCCGCATGCTCCTTAAATGTGAACCGTTGCCTGCCAGTCATTCCTTATGGAAAGCAGCACCAATGTGGAGTGTCTCACACCGTGCCGTCCTGTCACAGAACAGACGAGAGAGGCCGGCTTCCAGCAACCCGAGTCCTCTCTGAGGCAAGAAGTACAATTTGGACGTCCTCTGTCAGCCTGACCTGAAATTCAAAAGATGCCTTTGCAAAAGGAACGAATCCAGTGTACTGATCCTTCTGGGATTCTGGTTGTGATCTATAGGATAATGTTTTGTTTTGTTTTGTTTTGTAAAGATAATTCTGAGGGCGCCTGGGTGGCTTAGTCATTAAGCATCTGCTCAGGTCATGGTCCCAGCGTCCTGGGATCGAGCCCCGCATCGGGCTCCCTGCTTCACGGGAGGCCTGCTTCTCCCTCTGCCACTCGCCCTGCTTGTGTTCCCTCTCTCGCTGTGTCTCTCTCTGTCGAGTAAGTAAATAAAATCTTTAAAAAAAATAATAATAGGGGCGCCTGGGTGGCTCAGTTCGTTGGGTGTCTGCCTTCGCCTCAGGTCGTGATGCCAGGTCCTGCTCGGCAGGAGCCTCCTTCTCCCTCTCCTCCCTGCTTGTGATCTCTCCTGCTATCTCTGTCGCTATCTCTCTCAAATAAATAAAATAAATTAATAAAATCTTTTAAAAAATAATAATAGTAATAAAAGTAAAGATAATTCTGTTCCTTCTTGGCATGGCACAAACCAGCATTAATGTAGATCTTCTAGGAGTTACTCCTACTTTCTTGTAGACCAGCGTCTTTGCAGATGAACTTTCCTTCAGAAAGAAACCATGAAATGTGTAAGGTGGGGAAAAAGCCGTGTTAGAGTCCCACTTGCTATTCACTGATTATGAACCTTGGGTAGGGCCTCCCCAGCCTGGAACACACAGCCTATTTTCAGCTGTGTTGATCCTCCATGTCTGTGGAGACTCACTAGCTCTGAGAAGCTCTCCTCCCTACACCCCAGCTCGGAGGCACCTCCTGGGCTCTGGGATTGCTCAGAGAAGCTAGAAGCTCTGCATTACTGCCTTTATAAAGTAATCATGCTTTATAATGCTTTATTGAATTCAGTTCTAGACTGATGTGTATATAAACTGCCGTGAAAAGGGGTGCGAGCCTCAGGCCATGAGCAGCTGCTAGTAGCCTTCATAACATTTTATGACCTCTGAAATTGCTTGAATAATCATCAGTGAGCCAGTGGGTGAAAATAATGATGGCCATAATGATCGAAGGAGGCCCAAGACCAGAGCCCAGATGTGCAAGCACTTGGTGGTAGAGGTGTAGGCCCGGGCCCCAGTCACCGCACCTGCTACCCTCCAGTCCCTAGACTGTAGTAGTAGGCAAATGCTACAAAGCCCCGGCAGCACAAGGACCAGACGGGGTGGTCAGGCACGGAGGTCTCACCGTGGATGTTGATCATGGCGGTTGTCACGGGGGCCAAGCTCTGGGACGCACAAGCGGGGGATGGGGCAGAGGGAGAGGAAAGAATCTCAAGCAGACTCCGTGCTGAGCATGGAGCCCCACACGGGGCTTGATCCCACGACCCTGAGATCATGACCCGAGCCGAAATCAAGAGTCGGACTCTCAACCAGCTGAGCCACCCAGGCGCCCCAGATTTCAGAATATAAAAGCAATTTCTAAATACGTGGCCATCATCAGCTAGATCTCCCCATCCTCATCAGGCAACATTCAGGAGTGGAGTAAGAGAAATTGAGCCTCCTAGTCTTTGTGACACTTCTCTTGGGGTGGAGGTGGGGGGCATTTTGATTTCGCAGTCTTCATCCAGACCCTTAACATCAGCCTCTTGCAGGTTTCTGCCTAGAAGCTGGGTGGGTGACCTTTTAAAACTTTCTTCATTGGTCCAACAGGTGACTTGCCCCAGCATCTTCAAGTAATGATCAACCTTCTGCGTTGTGAAGATCGGATCAAGCTGGTAAGAAGAGACAAAGAGCGGCAAGTTTTAATTTTTAATTGTGCGATTTGGTAGGGAATTATTCACGAGCAGTGGGAGGTGGGGAGTTCCTGTGTTCCAGCAGATTCTCCCAAATTGTTCACAAAAGCCAGAGCCAGGTTTGCTCTCCACCACCCACAAGGTCCAGAGAAAGGATATGTTAGATGTCCGTGTCGATCTGAGGGTGGAGATCTTCATTCTCTGGATTGTACCTGTTCACCCATGTGACCAACTTTGGGGGAATCTCCCCAGAGCCAAGCACTGTCCGTCGTGCATGGATATAAACAGACGCGGCTCCTGCTCTTAAGAATCTCATCTTAATTCCTGAGCTCATGGGGGGGGAGGTAGACAACAAAAGCCCTCGGTGTTGATTTGGTCACGGAAGAGGCCACCACCTTGAAAGGCAGGCCAGTGAGACCGTCTTTGCCTGTCTAGGCCGTGCGCTTGGAGAGCGCCTGGGCGGAGCGGGTCCGGTACATGGTGGTGGTGGACAGCAGTGGGCGCCAGGACACGGAGGAGAGTATCTTGCTGGGAGTCGACTTTTCCAGTAAGGAAAGGTGAGTCTGGTGGGGCGGTGGGGACCTGGGTTGCCGTGGTCCCGTGTCCGTGGGAGATGATGACGAGATGTGTGGTGGTCAGCGGCACGGTGACCAGGCATGCAGAACAGTAGAACGCACCGTTGCAGCTCGTGCGTGCCTGGCGCTGTGCTAGATTCAGCCTCTGCTCTCAGCTCCGACTGAGAGGATAGAAGAGTCACACTGAGCTTCAAGGTTTACCACTGGGTTGCTATCGGGGGTGCCATGGAAGAGAGCACCTGAGCCGGGGGGGCTTCCTGAAAGAGGTGACGGCTGTGGTGAACACCCAGGAACAAGCAGGAGGGAGCCACGTGAAGCGGGGACGGGCCCGTATAGAAGTATGTGACTGATGGGCATCGTATCAAGCGCTTCCCCTATATTACCATCCCAAGTGGATTCCCAAGTATTTGTTGACAGGTCCTTGGTCAGAGGCTTAAAGGGAGGTTTGGAATTTTCCAATAACTGGAGGGCAAGTTAGTTGTATCATAGACCCTATTATGTGTGTGAAATGAGGGCGAATGGCTCTTCTTACATCTAGGATACGTGAATGTGCGTGAGATCATTGCAGACCCTGGCTTTGTGAAACCTGGATTAAGATAGGCTCCCTGTATTCGTGATCTTTAACCTACTCATCCGCCAAGGCAAGTGTGTACGTTCTCCTGTGTATGAGGCAATGGGCCAGGTACACAAAGAAGCAGCCGAAGCTGTGGTCCACCTCTGAGAGCCTATAAACTCAGGGAGGAAGGAGCCATGACCAGATGGCAGGGCAACGGGCTCGGTGATGGAGGGGTGCTCGGGGGGTTGTGGAAGCACGAGACGGGTGGGCTCAGAGGGGGCAAGCAAGAGGCCTTCTGCAGCGTGTGATGGCTCACTGAGTCTTAAAGGGCAAGTGGGCAGTAGGGACGGGGCAGTGGGGGCTGCATTCGAAGGCATCTTGGGCAGAATCGATGGCAGGACAGAAAAAGCCACAGACGCAGTGAATGGTGTGGCGGCTATGTGGTCTCGTCTTGTTCCCGCAAGAGAGCTGCTGTTAGGAGGGACCAAAACTTTGTTCCTGGCCAACAAGCTCACAGAAGAAAGAGGGAGGACATTTCTTTTATGACCTTCTTCTCGGTACAGGATAGCATCCTAAGAAAGTTTTGTGCGGCACACATAGGGAGAGACGTGTGAGCCGGCATCTGTAGCCTTGGGCTAGTTGGGAAGTCTGGATCTGGAAGACTGTGGAGCCTGGCAGGTCTTAGGAGGCAAGCTGTGAAGAGCGCCCCGGAAGGCAAGAGGGCCCAGCACCTCGTGTCAGGGCACCCCCAGGCCGGCGCTCTGGGACACGGGCGGAGCTCGGTGTTTTGTGCAGCACAGAGGTATTTAGTGCGAAACAGCGATGCAGTTACATTTGCTCTTGGATGATCAGCCAGCCTTTCGGAGTTCCTTCCGGGGCAGGGGCGTTCCTCGCCACATGTGGTCCGTCCTTGTAACACCCTCCGGCCCAGAGCAGGAACCTGCCTCTCCATGGGATGTGCCCACCGTGGCGGTCTGCCCCTCCTGCTAGCCATCTCTGTCACTTCTGTGGGAAGAACCCAGGGTGGTTGCCACAGCGTGTCCTCAGCATCTCATTGAACCCTTAAACCACCCCATGGAGCAGGTAGCTCTGATTTGTGTGTAACAGATGAGAAATGCAGCTCGAGAGGTCGGGGTGGGTACCCCCAAGGCCCTCCTACTAGCAGAGCTGGGCATCAGAAGCCGGGCTTTTGTGGCGGCCCTGCGGTGTAGACCCTGCACATCGGTACGCTGCACTCTCTTCTGCACCCCGTTGTTTGTGAATTCATTCCTCCGCGACCGTCTGTACCGTTAGCACTTCCTGCATGCCCGGCCTCTGCTCTCCGACCTCAGAGTCTGGAGGTCGTGACCGTAGCATTAGATGCGTACGCATGCCCTCCACGTTGTCCTTCACGGCTGGAGTGGACAGGCCCGCGTGCAGGCGTCAACCCCGAGGCTGTTGCCACGTCTTGTGGTTGGGGAGGTGGGGCAAGGGGCTGCCGAGGGTGAGTAGGTGGTCAGAGGGGAATAGGACCTAAGCGGCCTTCCTGTTGTCGAGCCTGAGTGGCAGCCCTGCAGGCCCAGGCATGTGGAGGTGGGGGCCGGGGGCCTGGGCCCTGGGCCCTCTCCTGCGGCCCCACACTGGGAAGCCCCAGGCACCAAAGCCCTGGTCCTTACAGAAGCTTTTGGCCTGCTGAAAGCATGATAATGCTTGTTTTTCTCAATTCCTGACATGAGATTTTGCTTCCTTATTCCAAAAAAAAAAAAAAAGGGAGCGAGGAGTGCTGCCCATAGCGGGTACGTACCCTGCGGGAGTTCCGGCAGGAGGATAGGCAGGGGCCGTTTCAGACGGAACGATGCAGGAGCAGAGACGGGCCCCACGGGCTCACGGGTTCTCTTTCAGAGCCGCCCATCTGCTCATGCGTCGCCCCAGAAGACAGGAGCGGCCACCCCCAGGTTCCATCTTGCATTTGGGAGGCGAGAGCACCGTGAGTGCCGTGAGCACACACAGCTGCCCTGTGCTTGCTGGCACCGTGCGGTCTGCGAAGGGCTTCCACGGCACCCCCCTGTGCCAGGCCTGGCTCCCGCGTGGCCCTCGAGTCCCCACGCCGGCCCCACTGGGCAATCTGCTCCTGCTGTTTCAGTTTCCTCTGAAGCTTTTCTTCTCCCCCAGCTGCCCCACCCATGTCATCCCTTGAGGTCATTCCTCCTGGAAGACCCCATTTCCCTGACCGGGTGCCCCTGCTCCCCCTGTACGCCAGCACGCAGGCCCTCCTTCCCTGTAGACATTTGGCTGTCCGTCACTGCAGGACTACTGGAAACTCACACAACAACAGATAAGGGGACGTTAGGGAATTTGCAGAGTTGTTTCAGTCGTGCCATGGTCCCCGCCTGTGCTCTTGACTGCAGGTAGAGACCCTGCGTGGGAGTCCTCCGTGGACTTAGCCCCATGCGCGCAGTGCTCTCTCCAGGCTCTTCCCCATCTCCGCAGGTAGGGGAGGCCAGTTTAGATGCTGCCCTTGTTTCATATGGACTGTTTCATCTCGGCCTGCCCTGGAAGGCCCCCTCCTGCCCTAGGCCTGGGCCTGGGCCTTACGCCCCCCCCTCCCCGCACCGAGTCCAGTTCAATGCTCCTTGTAGCTCTGTCTTCTCTCCTCATTACCAGTCCCTGGCGTGGGTCGTCAGTGCTGAAAGGGGGTGAGTCTTCCAGGCCTGGCAACGTGTTCCCAGGTGCCCTCTGCCCTGGGCTCTCAGCATGTCGGTTTGGGCTACGAGGAGGCCCCCTGCTCAGCCTCCCAAGCACTGACACAGCAAGCAGCTCTGGAGCTCTGCGGGTCTCAGCATACGTTTTATTTTGCAGCTCTACAAAGGAAGTAGAATTAGCCCATCAAGAGTAGGTAGGAATGCAGGGGTGGGGGGTCAGGTAATTTGCCTAACACAAAAGGCTTCGTCTGATTTGACCTGAAGGGCTTGCAGATTCCTTCCCCACAGACGGAAGCAGAGGGTAGAAGAGTCCCGCTTGGTCACCAGCACTCCAGGGGAAGAGGGGGGGTCTGTGAGCTCAGAGCTCCCTGTCATAGGCATCACGTTACTCCCTGGGCTGTGGCTAAGAGGGAGTAGAGGTGTATGTCCAAGATCCCTGGAGGCTCTCGGAGTTGGCCTTGGCCGTTACCGTGGTCTCTCATGAGCAGACTCTTTCTTTTAAATGCCTGAAGAATTTTCCTAACGATCCGAGTAACCCTCTGATAAAGTCCTTTCTGTCCCTCTGTGTTTCTCAGTGGCACCTGTCTCCAGAGTCACTAAGCATCATTTCACTGTTAGGGTGAGCAAACCAAAAGCAGATTAAGCTCGTTTTGAAACTGCAGCTGTGCAGAAGGTACAGAAACAGAGACCCAGAAATGAACTGCAGCCATGGTGTTGGCACTGTCCCCATCCCCGCCACCTAGGACAAGAGGCCCGGTTGGCTGCCACGGCTCGCCTGTGTCCCCTGGAGTGCGTGTGGCCTCGTGCCAGGAGTGCGCCAGCCATCAGCGGCTTCACCCCTGCTGCAGCGTGGGCGTGTGGTCAGCCGCTCGCTCCCTGCCCCCGAGAGCCACAGCCGGGGCCTGGCGTTTCCAGAGCTCCATCCGCACCTCGGTGGGGTCACAGTCCCCTGGGACTGTCTCCAAGTAGAGGTCACTGGGGACCCCCTCTGATGGGACCATCCCAGACTCACGTCTTCTAGAATTCAGTGGCAAGTGGTCCCTATGCAGACAGCCTGAGAGCTTCTCCCTGATACGCACCCAGCAGCCAGGCCCAGGTCGGGTGGTGGTTCCTTTCTGAGAGCTGGACAGGCTGGGCGAAGGCAGGGAAGAGGGTGCATGAGCGGGCGGACCCTGACTCTGGGCATCTTCTCTTTTCTCCTGAGCAGTAAAAGCTGCACCATCGGGATGGTTCTCCGGCTGTGGAGTGACACGAAAATCCACCTTGATGGAGACGGGTAAGGAGATCTCTTTAAAAGATTCTTCCAGGGGCGCCTGGGTGGCTCGGTCAGTGAAGCGTCTGCCTTCGGCTCAGGTCCTGAGCCCCAGAGGCCTGGGACCGAGCCCCGTGTCGGGCTCCCCCATCAGCGGGGGGCCTGCTTCTTCATCTATCTCCTGCTCCCCCTGCTTGTGCTTTCTCTCTCTCTGACAAATAAATTAATAAAATCTTTAAAAAAAAAAAAACACTAAGCGATTCTTCCACTTTGGGCATCCTGGATAATCATTAGGAGCAGACCCACCTGTGTGACGTGCTCACACAAGGACCGGGGATATTTGGGACATTATATAAGAGAGTTTGGGTCTCGAAGTATCAACAGAAGAGTGTTTACAGGGGATGTGCTGCTGTGTGAAGTTCCAGCGCATCAGGGAGCTGACATCCATCCCTTCCCCTTGATGCGTTAAGTGAATACTCGGTACGTGCCCCCCACACGGAGCCGGTCACTGTAGGTTCACGGTTGGAAAGGACGCGGCCAGAGCACACAGCCGTGGGGGTGCGGGGGGAGGCAAGCAGCTAGCGGGCACAGCAGCGTGTCAGGTGCGTCTCTGGGGGCTGCAGAGGAGGAAGCCTTCCGTGTGGCTGGGGCGAGGTAGACAAGAGAGCCATCCGGGTTCCACGTACATTTGCTTCCAGGGGAAATACGCGGGTTCTGCCAGGAGTGGGGGGGAAGGAGCTGAATACAAGTTGCCCCTTCACCAGGATTCCAACGGTAAAAGTTAAATTGCCTCATAGAACCGGGGAAGAAAAATTAAAATGTGATTTTTTTTTTTTTTTGAAGAGGCAAGATTACAATGGTTATATTTTTTTTCCTTTGTCAGATTTTGCCATCTGTGAATATATTTCGCATGCAATTACAAAAACAGTGGGTGGGATGTGTGGGGCAGGAAGTAGCAGGGGGCTGGGACAGTGGCAGGAACGTGAACGAGATGGTGTGTCAGATGGTGGTGTTACCTCTGCCAGGGTTTGTGTTTTTGATAGACCTCGCGTAGCCGGGTTAAAAGCAAGTCTTACAGATTTGAGAACACTTTTTTTTTTTTCCCCACTTTTTTCCCCGCTCTTGCCCTTGTTCCATGCAGGGGGCTTGTATTCCCTGCTCAGAAAGCGTGAGCCACCCTCGTCATCTGGTGTGGCCTCAGGGTCTAACTTCTCACCGTGCTTCCTTTCTTTTTTTGTTTTTCATCCTCAGGGGATTCAGCGTCAGCACTGCGGGACGGATGCACGTCTTTAAGCCCGTATCCGTCCAGGCCATGTGGTAAGTGCTTTTAGGGACTTTTATCACCTTAGGAATATTTTTTTTAGCTGCCAGCACGAATAGGAAAACCCCCTTCGACTTTAAAGCTCATTTTGGTGCGTTTATTTTTGTGTGTATGGCAAAATGCACGTAACGTGAAGTGTACCGCGTTTACCATTTTTTAAGTGTGCGGTTCAGTGTACATCCATGATGTGCAGACGTCACTATCCATTTCTCGAACTTTCTCATCATCCCATTAAACACTAAGTCCCTCTCCCCCGCCCAGGCCCCGGTTAACCTCTGTCCTACATTCTGTCTCTAGGAGTTTGCCTACTCCAGGTCCCTCCAATAGGGGGGAATCCTCCCCGATTTCTCCCTTTGCGTCTGGCTTCTGTTGCATATCTTGATGTTTTCGAGGTCTGTCCGTCTTGTCGCACGTGTCAGAATCCTTTCTAAGGCTGAATGTTACTCTAGGATGTGGTCATAGACTATTTTTTGTGTAGCCCTATCATCCGTCAGTGGACATTTGGGTTATTTCCACCTTCTGGCTGTTGTGCTTGGAGCTGCTATGAACACGGGTGGGCAAAGTCTCTGTTGCAGCCCCTGCTTTCAGTTCTTTTGAGGATGTACCTAGAAGTGGAATTTCTAGAGCACGCGGTTAACTCTGTGTTTCACCCTCTGGGGAACCAAAACCGTTTTCCGCAAACTGGACTCTTGGTCCCATTTCACATTCCCACCAGCCGTGCACGAGGGTTCTGGTTTCTCCACGTCCTCACCAGCTCCTGCGAGTTAGTTACTGAGTTTTCATCATCGCTCTCTTAATGGGTGTGAAGTGGTATCTCGCTATGGTGTTGATTTGTATTTCCCCACTTGATGAATACCGAGCATATCTCTTTATGTGCTTATTGGCCATTTGTACAGCTTTTTTGGAGAAAAGTCTATTCAGGTCCTTCAGCCAGTTTTTCATTGGGTGGTTTTTTTGTTGTCGAAGGTACTTTATTCTTACGTTATCTACAGTTCCTGCTGCCCAAATGCCATTCCAGCGCAAATTTGCATATTCTTTATACCTGGCGCATGCTCGGTTTGTGCCCTGAAGGGAATGGCACCCTGCCAGGCGCTGGGCATCTGGGAAGGCATACGACGGACATAATTCCTGTCCTCGTGGGGTTTAAAGTCATGGAGGGGAGGTGGCCATAACCCGCGCAGAGTCATGTGTTGGGAGCGTGTTCTCACAGGGTGCCCCGCTACAGGATGCGGGGTGCAGGGCCCGCGTCGGGGGGAGTGCCTCCCACACACTCTGCTTTGGGGATGAGGTAGCCGCGGGTGAAGGCTGCACTGGGTGAAACAGGTCAGGCCGGTGCTTCTTCAAACCCGCACACATACCTCCGAGCCTCCCTCATCCTTGGAGGGTCGCATAAACCACCCCTGCAACGAACTCAACACAACCGTCTCTCTTTCCAGCAGTCTGGAAAAGGCTCAGGAGAAAGCTGGTGGCATCTGATGAGAAGGGTTCTGCCCAGTGTTTCCCAGTCATTACTTTGTTTCCTGGGACGCTGAGAGTTAGGCCGAATTCTCCTATGGGCCACCAGTCAACATGGTGCTTCATTTTTACCTCGTCCATTACTCTACACTGCCCTCAATTCAGGCTCCTTCTGGGGAAAATCACGAAATCATAATCCCCTTGATATCCCAGATGTTTCTTGCGTCCCTGGATCACTTCTTACCTCTTTCTCTACAGGCAAGTAAAAAACAGGCCCACATGTTTTTCCAAAATTTCGGGAGCAAAACTAAATTTAGTAAATATGCGGCTCAAGCCTATTCCCTGAAGCAGCCTAGAGATAGGACAGACATGCCTGAGTGGGACGCGTGCAGCACATAGCGGGGGTGAGCCCTTCCCCGAGCACTCTCGCTCCCTTCGGGGCTTCCCCTCTCCCACCCTTCGTCGATGCCTGGTTCACCCCCTTCACTGAGAGAGTTTCAGCCTAGATTTTTGTTTAAAAAAAAAAAAGATGACTAAGCTGAGCATTACCATACACATTCTCCACGTAGTTCCTTCTGCCCCACTCTTCCTTCCCGAACCTCTTCTTCATTTCATCCCTGTATTAATGTGAGTTTCTAGTACTCCCTTCCCTAAGAGAGCTAAGCATCGAAGCTATTATAACAATGACGGGCAAAGGTTAAAAAGCAAGTTATTCAGAACGCAGTAAAATGTGTCTGCTGCATGTGAAAGACTTTCCTTCCACCTGCCAGGCTTTGTGGCGGTGTCCCTCCCACCCCCCGCCTCCGAAGTAAATCTGAGTTCTTGGGTGTTAACTGGCCGAGTGGGAGATGATCCGTGAGCCAGCCTGGGTGGGAGAGTTACGAAGTTTGCACTCTTTCCTTGCTGGGCACAGTGAAGGATGGCTCGTCTGCTCTTGGGTTCCGTTACCCGGCAGCCAGAAGGTTTCGGGCTGCCTTGCGTCCCGCACGTAACCTTGTGCATATGGCGATGCTCGGAGTGAGTCCTTGAGGGGTCGCCCTGCCCCGCCCCGTTCTCAACCCCCCCCCCCCCCCGTGTGGAGGGAAGAGCCCAGCACTCCCTGTGCCTCCCCAGGCCTGACCCTGTCCCCCCTCCTCACCCCAGGTCTGCCCTGCAGGTCCTTCACAAGGCCTGCGAAGTGGCACGAAGACACAACTACTTCCCTGGTGGCGTGGCGCTCATCTGGGCCACCTACTACGAGAGCTGCATCAGCTCGGACCAGAGCTGCATCAACGAGTGGAACGCCATGCAGGACCTGGAGTCCGCACGGCCCGACTCCCCGGCCCTGTTTGTGGACAAGTAAGTGCGGCGCTGCCTCGCCCACGCCGGGCCCGACCCTGAGTCCGCACAGGGTCACACCACCCTGGTAGTCCCGGGATTGGGAGCCCCCTCTCCCAGGACCAGCATTCCAAGCAGGGGTGCCTCACCTGCTGCCCATGGGTAGTCTGTGGCTAGGGAAGGCTCTGGGACCACCACCCCACTTCTGAAATTAGAGACGGATTTGGGTGTGAATGCGAACCGTAGCTCCCATCAGCCTACATGCGTCACCGGCTCTTGGGCCATGTTCTGTGGTCCGGCCTTTCCCTCTGTTCTGAGGAGTATTATATATCCATCGTCCCAGGATCCCAAAACACCACTGCACCACCACTGGCTGGGGCGGCCTGCCTTAGAGGCCACAGCAGTGAATCCGGGGCCTCTGTCACGTGGCCACCAGCAGAGCTCACGTGGCCTGAGGCTGCACTCAGGGGAAGTCTGGGTCCAGAGGAAGGAAATGGCTCCCCCCTCCTGTCTTGGTTGGGACCCTCCTCCCCCAGAGTCGTGTGTCCCTCTGGGACTGCATTATGAGGGCCACGGACACAGAGGTCAGCCTGAATGAGGAGAGGACCGGAAGCCATGTTCTTTGAGGCCCCAAGTGATGAGCGGGTTGGGGAGAATGACAGTTGCCTTTGAATATAAAAAAGGGCATTCTGTGGAAGAATTACCCTGGTCTGTGTAGAAGCAGGGCTGATGGGTAGAAGTTACAGGGAAGCACATAGATTCTCCATGTAAGAAGGAGATGAGGAGAGCCGGACCCAGTGATGTCCTCCCACCCAGACATGTTCAAGCGCAGACAGAAGGATGTGGTTGGTGGGCGGACGTTCCGCGGGTGCTTCCACATCTCGTCGTGAGAGCCTGATTCTCTGCAGACCTGAACGAGGACTATGCTTTCCAGCCATTGTTTGTGCTCCCCATCCGCTCACCACTCTGTGGACGCCCACAGGAGTTCTAGACACAGAGCCGGACTTCTCTGTCCCTTTCCTCTCCTCCCAAAAACATGCACACCAAAAAGGTAGCTGTCTGGGCGCCTGGATGGCTCAGATGGTTAAGTGTCTGCTTTCGGCTCAGGTTATGATCCCAGGGTCCTGGGATCGAGTCCTGCATCGGGCTCCCTGCTCCTTGGGAGCCTGCTTCTCCCTCTGCTGTCTCTCTCTCTCTGTCTCTCATGAATAAATAAATTAAAAAAAAATCTTTAAAAAAAACAGGTAGCTGTCTGCGTGCCGGCCATGTTCTTTTTAGCCCAAGAGTATCTGGCGTTCCTGTAAACGCTGACCTCAGGCTCCCTGTCATTCTCCATCTTACTGAATGTCCCTTCTTTCTAGGCCAACTGAAGGGGAAAGGACTGAGCGCCTCATCAAAGCGAAGCTCCGGAGCATCATGATGAGCCAGGATCTAGAAAACGTGACCTCGAAAGAAGTAAGAGAGCTCTTCCCTTACCAGGCCAGAGGTCACAAGCTGTCCATCTGTCCTGTTGCCCAAAGCACAGCAGAGGCAGGTCTGCCACTTGGCCTTTTTACCGATCAGCTCACCGACTCTCAGAGGCTTTTTCCCCGCAGGACTTAGCAGAGAGAGCGCAGGCCTTAGATTCCCACTCTAGTTTGGATCCAGCCGTGCTGCACAGCAGCTCTGGGGCCTTGCAAATTTCCTGAGCTCTCTGAACCTGTAAGACCTTTGGTGTTAATTCCACGAGACCCACGCATTATCCCGAGATACATCTGCCTATTAGCGCCCTCTTCTCTGCCTTGTGTTTTATTGAGATACAGCAAACTCTTATTTCTTATTTCAGGATTATCACTTACTAGCAAGTTACTAACCCTGGACTGCCTTCTGTGTGCCTTCGAATTTTTTTCTGGATCACTTTTTTCTTGTCTCAGTTGCTTTTTGTTCTAAAGAATGCAATGAATTATAATAAGCGCTTAAACTAGGTAGATATAAGGGCTTAAAAGGGCCATTTGAAAAAGCCATATATCACCCTTTGTATTAATTAATATACATAAAAAGTCATATTGTGGGGCAACCAACCCTCTTGGGTTCCCTCCCTCTTTGGGAGCTTTGTACTGTCGCTCAATAAACTTTGCTGCCCACCAAAAAAACAACAAAAAACTATCCTGTTGTGATGCCTTCCAAAGAAAGATGAAGCTGATTTTATGTGTTCACTGTGAGATATTTGATATTTAATTGTAAAAATAGAAGTGCCTTAAACTCCGTAGAAGAGATGCCCTACGAATCAGCTTCTTGGTATAAAATGATGAACTTTGCCCAGTCCGACTTCCCGTGAGGCTGTGTAGCCTCATTCCCACCACCTACGTACGGGCTGTGTGCGTCTCGGTGCGTTGTGCGCTTTCTTTGGGGTAAAAAAAACAAAAAAACCGCCAAAACAACAAGACACCTTTTTGGAAAACAACCACAGTATAAGTTGTGACTTGACTTCTTTGGAGGTGGATGGCTCTTGTTCTGTTTTGTAACGAATAGCTTTTTGTACTCTTCTCCGCTCCACAGATCCGTAATGAATTAGAGACGCAGATGAACTGTAACCTGAAAGAATTCAAGGAATTCATAGACAACGAGATGCTCCTTATCTTGGGACAGATGGACAAGCCCTCCCTTATCTTCGACCACCTCTATCTCGTAAGAAGCGCCGCACAGGGCAGGGTCTGGTTCGGGGAACATCCGTCTACAGACCTTGATTGTTTGGAGCTTGCAGCAGAGTCAGAGAGGGGGAGAGAACTGGAGTCGCTGGGACCTCGATCCTGGCTGTTCTGGGAACTCCTGTCTTCGACCCCCTTCCTCTGGCCTACGCTGGTTTGCCCTGGGGCCAGATGTATGAGATGGGGCTCCCAGCTGAGCTGGGCAGAGTTGTTTGAAGGCTCTCTGGCACAGTCCACTGGCAGCAATTTTCAGAACCTCTCCATCCTTGGTCTTCAGTTGCTAACACAGAGGCCGCATCCAGTTACCTCCCCACGGTTTGCGGGCTCAGAACCCCCAGGTACGAAAGGGCGCATGCTCGCCAAACCCCAGAATTACACCTGGGCATCACCGAGACGTGAGAAACAGTAGGCAAAACAAACCGAACCCCCGAAACCCAGCTTCTTCCCCTCTCTCTGTCCGGGCAGCTACCCTGTGCCCTGCTCCCAGGCCCGCCGAAGGGACAGGCCCTGGAAGCACCACCGGGGGGCCGGGTTGTGCAGGTTCTCCCCACCTCCATCTCTTGCTCAGATGCTCTTAATGCTGTAAATCTCCATAGAAGGCAACTGGCAAGTTCACAGAGTCCCTCAGAGAGACTATAGGGGAGAGAATGTTACTAAAATTAGAGAAGTGGTACAGTGTGATGGAAGTCAGACCTGCCAGGGCCAAGTTCCCACTCCCCAGCCGAAGCAGCTGTGTGAGGGGAGCGAGCCTCTTTGCCTTTTCTCCATTCTGTACCATGTGGGATGATTGTGAGGATTAAGTAAAAGACATTCTTAAAGCACCAAGTGTAGTTTCTGTAGGTACTAATAAGTGGCAATCATTGTTACAGCAAAAATGACTTTCTGGGAAAGTGGAGGAAGTGTATTTGCTGCTGAAGCCATGAACATCTTGTTTTCTGCCCACAAGAATTAATTAATGGTTCTCCAAACGCATGTGTCGTGATATATACTTTGTATATTAAATATATATATATCGCAAATATATATATTTAATGTATTTGTGTATATCAATTCGTATTTGTGAATATGTGTGTCTGTGTGTATATATATGCACATATATGTTTAACGTTTGTATTAAAACATATATGAATGTGTGGATTTGAAGCCTATATCTTGAAAGCCATCAGGCAGCACTGGGCTCTAATTTCCCCAGGAAGTTGGTGGTTTTTCCTAGTGGAAACAACAGAAGGCAGGCCGTCTCTCCACTAGGTGGTGATCACAACAAGAGGATGCTCACAGATGTAGTGAGCTTTCATTATTTTTTTCAGTGTGGTTTGGTGGTCTATGTCACTTTTTCCATGAGAGATACTAAAGGAATTTTTATATTTGAGCCTCTCCCTCCAGCATGAAAAATCCAGCTAACACCCGCACATTACCAGCCCCACTTGGCCCCCTGGGGCCCCTGCGTCCTGAGGGGTCTGCCCTCCTGGGAAGGGAAGTTTCTAGGGAGACTTGGTGGGGGGGGTCTCTTGTTCTTCACAACTCTGTGTCATTTGCATTGCCGAAGAGCGAAGTGATAGCTTTTTCTTTGTTTTTTCCCCTTCTGTGTTCCTGGGAAGCTTAGAAATGGAGGGTTCGTTTTATAATATGCTTTAAAAGGCATTAAATTAAAACACGTTATAGAAGGTTCAGAAACACCAGTAACTCCAAAGAAGAAAGTAAAAAGCATTCCCAATTTCGCAAATCTAGACATAGTCACCATTAACGTTTTAGTATATTTTTTTTCCCATCTTCTGGGTTTTTTCTTTTTATGTCTATATAGCTTCTTTAAAAAAAAAAGAAAGGAAAGGAAAGAATCATAATGTTTATATAGTTTTGTATCCTGTTTTTCTTTTTTTAAGTTGTTTTCATTATGCGGCATTTCCCTGTGTCGTTAAATAGCCACCCAAAGTACAATTTCATTTTTAATTGCCCCATCGTGTGGCTTCATCATCATCATCATTTATTTTACTAGTTTCTTCTTGTCGGACCTCTAAGTTGTTCTCATTGTTTGTCCTCGCAAATAACCATAAATATCCTCGTGCATAAATCTACGTGCGAATTCTGGATGTTTCCTCAGGGCAGCTGTTTGTATGTGGAACCACTGGGTCAGAGGGGGGGAACTTTTAAAAATACTTGCCCGAAAAGGTAGACAGATTCCTGCTTTAAATTAGTGGTGTGTGAAAGTGCCCTCTCCTGAGCGGGAAGCTGGAGGTCACTGCCTCTGGTGACAGGACCGTGCCGGAGCTTTAGGAAAGGACGTGGTGGGGGCGGGGGTGGTACAGGTTTTGCCGTTCCCTGAAGGCCAGGGGACAGCCAGGGCTTTCCACGCAGGCTGACAACGCCGGGAATGCCTCTGGAACCTGCTTGGCTAGCGGCCTTTTCTAGTTCTGTCTGCCCATCTAAGGCCAAGGGCCCATGAAATAGCCCTCCCCCACCTAGGGCTGGCCCACCCCATGCATCCCCTAAGCAGCTCTGAGGCGGACATGTGACACTCACGGGGGTTTGTGTGATCTGTCCCCCAGGGCTCTGAATGGAATGCATCCAATCTGGAGGAACTGCAGGGCTCAGGGTGAGTCTGCTCCCCTCGTCCCCCCTTGTCCTTCCAGGCAGCTTAGAAACCCCCAAGGTTGAGCCCTTGTAACGCCTGCACCCTGTCTCCCATCTCCAAGGGCTGGGCTGATTTCCAAAACGCCACCTCCTGAATAATTCATGCGTTTTAGATCTTAACGGGGTCCTGTGGGATGGTGTGTGTCACCAAGAACGATTCTCAGTCACACTCCAGTGGCAGAGGACAGCCTGGATGCTGGTAGGGCCACGAGGCCCCTCCTGGCCCCACTGCCCTCCCCCCCGGCCCCAGCACAGGGGCCGGCAGTCCTAGCGTGGACACACACACATCTGTGGGGCCAGTCGGCAGCTCTGGTCCCAGGACCACTCCTGGTTCTCCCTGAGGTTAGACTTTGGGGCCTGGTGGGAATCTGGCGGCTAAATACTCAGTGTTGGTCAGAAACATATGCCCATCTCAGTCTGAGAAATGCCCAGCAGCAGGAATTTTTTTAAAAAAAGGTTAAATCTAGACCTTCAAGAACAGATGTCTGGACATTTTTTTTTTAACAACACAGCCCCAAAATCACCATTCTGTGGGTCTGACATGATGGCATTCTTCAATTACTACATTTAAAAATCAAGACTAAACAAATCTTAAAATATATCTTTAGAACTACTGGTTAAGATGTGTTCTTTCAACAGAAAAGTTTTCTTAAAATGTAGAGTGATACCATCTATGCTTTCTCTGGCTGGGAATAAAGAAATGATTTTGAAAGGTATTTTGTAAAGCATTTATAAGTATTCTCTTACAAACCCTATTTGAGGTATTTTCTAACTCCTGAAATTATTTTGGTCTTCCGGGAGTATAAGTATCAAGTTTAGAGAACATGCGTTCGAAGACCCTCCCCGCTGTTTATGTATTTATTTGTAGTCTGCCTTGTTTCAAGAGCATTTAAGGCAATTCTCAAGGACATAAATAATGGATGGATATCTTCTACTCTCTTAGCTATTTAAAAGTAGAGACTTTGTTTTTCGTTTTTAAGCCTCTGTATATTAATAAATAACCATTACGAAGTTTGAAACTTTGAGTGTGTCTGAAAATGTTTTTAAGTAATACATATGTCTCGTTTCCAGAATTCACATTGCTCAGCAATGCTTTGAACTTTTTTTTGTAAGTTTTTTTTTTACAAAGAAATTTGTTGTTTATTATAAGTGTAATACATTCTCATCGTATAGAGGACATTTGGAAAATACAAAAAAAAAAAAAAAATTACTCCTTAAGGAAAAACCAAAGTCCCACCGTAAACATATACGCTTTATGAGTGTGTATTTAATTTTTTTCCTTGCTCAGTTTTCTGTTACTTTGTCTTTTTGTAGTTCCTCATTCTGATTCTCCAAAGTTGTTGTTCTTTTTTTTTTTTTCTCCTTACAGTGTGGACTACATTTTAAATGTCACCAGAGAAATAGATAATTTTTTTCCTGGCTTATTTGCATATCATAACATTCGCGTCTATGACGAAGAGACAACAGACCTTCTTGCCCACTGGAACGAAGCGTACCATTTCATAAACAAAGCAAAGTAAGTGGATGGAGAAGACAAAGAGGCTGGCCTGAGGAAGTAAGGGGCAGATGCCGGCTGGGCAGAAACTAATGGCAGTCCCAGACTCAGACATCTCTGGTTTGTGGAGCCTTTGATGTCTGGTGGACCTCTGGTTACCACAGGACCCCCTAGCACCAAAAGGCACAGTCACTGATCTTCTCAGGGTGGGGGCCCCAATGAGCCTGTTTCTCCTGTCATCGACTGTGACACTGGATCCCACTTTTGTCATCATCACTGCTTCCAGGCAAGGATCTGATATCTCGTGGACATTCTTTGGAGCTCTGTCTACAGGGAGTCGCTGAGCCAAAGGAGGGAGGAGGGTGGGCCAGGTCTTGCATGGACTGTGAACACCTTTGGGGCTGCTTCCCCAGAGAAAGCTGCTCAGGCAGAGGCCGCGAGAGCTGGCCCGCCTTCTGCACCTGAGTTACTGCAGTTTTCTTGTTCACGGAATGGGGCAGACCGTCAGAGGTCCTCGTCGCCCTGAGCCTGTTCCTGGCATCACCCTGTCTTCTGTCCTCCCCTTATTCTCCTGTGGGACAACTCTGCCTCACTGAAGTCCAGAATAGAGAGAAAGAACCTTTTGCAATGCTATCGAAAGAAACCCCGTCTTCTGCTTCATACCTCTTGAGGTCAAAGCTCTGTAACATGTCCTTACCGAATCTTAGTTTGTTTGCATTCCTGGGGGATAGATTCCAGGCCAGCAGTCAAACAAAAAAACAAAAACAGAACAAAATGCACTGACAAATGGGGATGAATTTGAAGCCTGGGGTCTAGGAAAGGAGCCCAGACCCACCTGACGGGCCAGCTGGTTCCAGTGTAAACAGGCAGGCTGGTGGGTCTGCCTCCTGTACAAATAAAGCTTCCCAGGTGCGGCCCCTTCCAGCAGCGTGTACCCTCCCATTCTCGAGCCTCCGAAGTCTCGAGAAACACGGCCTTGCCGTTCCTGTGACATCAGCCCCGCCCAGGCCACTACCGCCTCCTTACAAATGACCGATCCACCTGCCTTCTTCCCCTCGTCCAAGTCGAGGGTGCTGCCGTCCTTGTCCTAGCTCCTCGACCCTCCCTGTCTGGCGAGCATTTGCCCTCCCGAGGGCCTTGCAGCCTTCCATTTGCTGACCCCGTTTTCTCTGCAGTCACCCGTTGCCCATCTTCATCTGCTGGGGCAGCTGTGTAGCTTTTGCAGATTACCCTTTCGCTGCCCCCTTTGCTTCCTGCAAGAGTTTCTGGTCTCCTGGCCCATCCCAGCGGTCCCGCTTTGTCCCTGAGGGCGGCCTGATTTGGGAGCCCTCCCTGCACCACTCGGCAAGGCAAGGACAGATTTATCTCGATTTCCCATTGTGTGCTAATTGATTTTGCAGTGAAGGTATTTCCTTTCGAGGGTGTGTGGCCATCTGCTGCATAAATATCAGGACGTGGGGGGGGTGCGGTGGGGTCTGGGCACTGAGATAACTTCAGGGTTTAAAGAAAAACAAAATGCATTGGGTAAAACCTAAGAGAATGAAATTATGGAAGTTTCTGGACTCTGTCTCCCACCTCTGCAGGAGGAACCATTCCAAGTGCCTGGTACATTGCAAAATGGGTGTTAGCCGATCGGCTTCCACGGTCATAGCCTATGCAATGAAGGAATTTGGCTGGCCTCTGGAAAAAGCGTACAACTACGTGAAGCAGAAGCGCAGCATTACACGGCCCAACGCGGGCTTTATGAGGCAGCTGTCTGAGTATGAAGGCATCTTGGACGCGAGGTGGGTGAGCGTCTGCGGGGAAGGGTTGGCAGAACCAAGCGGGCTCCCGTCCGGCCTGGCAGCAGTCTCTGCAGCTAAAATCCCGCCTTTGGGGGGGTTGGTGGGGAGCCAGACTGAGAAAAACAGCTATTGTTTGGGGTTTGATTAGTGGTTTCCAGGAGGGATCTGTTTGATTTTGTTGGCACACATAGAAAGCTGTTTTGCTGCTGGAGGGAACGGTGCGCGGTTCCTCGTCCAAGGCATGACGTCATGGGTGGCGCAGGCACGTGGCCGTCCCCGTTTCCTGAGCATCTGCTTTGTGCCGAGCCGTGGGCCAGGCTTCGCCACAGGGCAGTTCCGATGCCTCAGGGCCGACTGGCTTCCGGCACCGACGAGCCGGGCCGTGTAGGGCAAGCTCGCCCATCTCCCCCGGCCCTGGTTTCCTCTTCTGAGTTTGCAGTCCAAGCCCACCTGGTAGGGCTGTTGTGAGATTTACCTGAGGACTGTGCAGGTTTACCTCTGCAGATGCCGGGCTAGACCTGGCTCGTGGTGAATAAAACGGAGCTTTTGAAATCTCTAACCCCCACCCAGAAAAGGTCTGCCCCGGACAGGGTATCCCCGGCGTATGGGGGGAATGAGCTGACGCTGGAGGTTAGGGTGTCCCACGTCATACAGCCAGTGGGCAGCACAGGGGAGAGAGCACACCCGGGTCTGCCCGCCCCCAAGGCTCCAGTGTGGGGAGGCCCCGTGGAGGCAGATCCCCACTGCACCTGGGACTCCCTTTCTCCCTGGATTATTTCTGACTCGTATTATGAGGAGGCCACAGGCTCAGTCCACAGGCTTCTTGGCCGAGTGTGAGCAAGCAGGAGTGCCCTGGCAGGGTGGAACGGGGTCTGAGAACAGCTCTGGACATCTCTGGAGTCCCTTTACTGTCACCCAGGGAGCAGCTGGACAGATCCCCAGGCAGGGCCCCGGGACGACGAGGAGGGGGCGGAGGCATGGGCATCCTGCCTCCTTTCCCTTAGCCCTTCAGACACTTGCTGCCATCAGGGGCTTGCAGCCTCCACAGCCTCACCAGGGGTCTTCAGGCTGAGGTCACAGCCACAAGGCAGTGACCTTGACTTGCAGCCCCGTCTGGGGGCCCTCTTGGCCTTGCCTGGAACGGGCACACAGAGCCGTCTCGAACGGTCGTGGTGCTCCCGTGCGTTGCAAACAACAGCAGGCCCTTAATTCACACTGCCCTGTCCCCATCTCCTCTCGTCGTAGCCCGCACCCCTGCAGGGTGTTGGTACGGGTGCCCCAAGGGTCATGGAGGTGCCTTACCTGATTTCACATTAAAATTTTCTCTTCTTTTCTTTTTTTTTTTTTTGACCTTTACATTAAAAATGGGTTATAACCATACTACCACGATATCATAAGACCTATTTTTAAAAGTGACCTGTCATCTTTCTGACAAAAAAAAAAAAATCTTGTGGTTTTCTCCAGTTGTCCCAACTTGACGTGCATTATGTTTACCCATAAATCTCCATGTGCTCTCTGCTTCGGTCCCCGCTGTCTCCCTGCAGGATAGGGAGGAGAGGATTATTAGTCTACTGACAGATGGAGGGCCTCAGAGGTGGGACGGGCGGTGGCGTGGCTAAGTTCACAGAACGAGGCGGCACGGCGAGACCCTGATGGTACCCAAGGTCGAGACCGCCGTCACGGGTCTGCCACCTGGTCACTGCATGGCACAGTCACTGAGGGCTGCTGCCGGGAGCCCCGGGGGCTGAGCGTCCTAGCGCGCCATCTGTCAGCCGTGGGCTGTGTCTTGCTGTCCCTCCCGGGACCCTCAGGGCACTGGCCCCCATGACCTTCCTCTGCCCTTCCTCCCCCGCAGCAAACAACGGCACAACAAGCTGTGGCGTCAACAGAGCAACACCTGCGTCCAGCAGCCTGCGGACGACCCTGCAGGGTCGGGGGACTTCTTGCCGGAGGCGCTGGATGGCACCCCGGAGGCCCGGCTGCCCTGCCTGGACGATGCTGCCCAGCCCGCGTTCCCAGACAGCGGGGCCCCGGGAGGCCCCACTCTCCCCTGCTGCTTCCGGCGGCTCTCAGACCCCCTCCTGCCTTCCCCCAACGACGAACCTGGCAGCTTGGTCCACCTGGAGGATCTGGAGAGGGACGCTCTGTTGGAGGAAGCGGCCGAGCCGACTGAGGCACACATGCCAGCCAGACATCCCCAGGAAGCTTCTGGACCCTGCGAGAAGGAAGTGAGGAAGAAGCTGGAGTCCGGGAGCCCCAAGGCCCAGAGGGGCTCCTCGCAGCAGGTGGAAGAGATGGAAGGGGAGGAGGCCCTAGGGGCAGGGCGGTGGGGGCGGCCCCCACCCCAGCCCAGTAAAGGCCTGCTCAACCGGGAGAACCTTAACAACAACAACAGCAAGAGGAGCTGTCCCGACGACTTCGAGGTGGGCAAGGGGGGCCGGCGCGGAGGGTGAGGGCAGCGGCCGCTCCCCGAGCGCAGCTGCAGGGCGCCTGGGAGTGCGGGCGTACCGTGGGTCGGGGGTGTGCAGGGCCTGGCACTCATCCCTGCAGGCCCCCCACAATGCGCCTCATTCACAGCTGGTCAGAGCTTCCAGCTCGGTCTCTTTCTTACGTAGAATGTAAAACAAAACTTACCACCCAGCTTCAACATTTATCAACACAAGGCTATTCCTATTTCATCCCCGCCCCACTCGGTTTCCCCACACTCTGAATCATCTAACCAAACCCCAGCTGGGTCGCTTCATTCACAGATGCTTCCGTCTGTAACATAACCACAATAACACCTTGAAGAAATGGGTAGCAATTGCTCAGTATCATCAACTATCTGGTCTTCCAGCTCCTACTGTAATGCTCGACTCCATTAATCCCACGTGGCTATCCTATTTAAATGGTGGGTTTCGGCAACATGGTCTTAGCAAGCTGGCCCTTGCTCAGAAAATTATTAAATCCGCCAGGCTGTCCCCTCCTCCGGGGGGCCCAGGAGCCGAGGCTGGTGTCATGAGCGGTGTGCTGTGTCGCCCGCTCCCGGGTCCCACCCTCGCTCTGTACCAGCTCTTGCCACGGCCCGGGCCAAGGAGCTTCGCTTCCCCAGGCCTCCCCGCCCATCTTCCGAGACAGCCGGGATTCACAGGTGAGAGCACTCGGCAATGCATTCCCACATCCAGAGGGTTTGTCTTTCCCATGTTCTCATACAAACGAAATGGGAAGTACCAGATGTTAGTTCCTGGTGAATTTCTCCCACCACTCACCCTTCCCTCAAAGAGCAAATACCTATAAAGACAGATGATACAAAACGCCTGTCCAGGACTGTCCATCAGTCTGAAACGGCACCGGGTGGGTCGTGGATGAACAGGGGCAGCATGGGTAAGGAGAGACATGAAGGACGGCTTGCCTTTCCTGGCCAGAATTGGATTGAATGGGTGAGGTTCTCTAGGGAATAGGACCAGGAGACAAGCACTCATTCACTTGTTCAACTCTCCTTTCCTGACTACGGTGCCAGGTTGGAGAGGGGTTGAGCTGCAAGGTGACTGTGCCTTCTCTGCTCCCCTCTGCCTGCTCAGCACCTGCTGGTCCCAAAGGTCTCAGCGGAGGTTCGGCACCTCAGGGAAGCCTTCCCTCTGCAGAAGACTTTGAGCTCACCTTTCTCCATCCTGTCACTTGTCACTCAGTTTTCTGGTCCACACTAGACCCTCTGAGGGCAGGGACCATGTCTTGTTTGCAGCCCCTGTGCCTGACGCCAGTCCTGACGTGTGACAGGCGCTCCCTAAATGTGAGTTGGATGCGTGAATTTGCTCCCAGCCTATTGCTCCTTGGGCTCCGAAAGGTAGTCCTAAATCTCCGACCGTGAGACATTCTAACCACATTTTAGAACATCAGGTCCTAAAGGTTTTAGGAGAAAACTTCAGTCAGAGCTTCAGAAAAATTTCTGGGTCAAGAGTTCGGGGGTGGTCAGGTCTCACTGGTTGACCCAGGAATCCTGACTAGGTTAGGAGATCCGGCCTCCCGCCTCCCCCACCACACGCTCTCTGTATGCTCCCCTGCAGCCTCTAGGAATCATGGCTGGGTTTCCTTACGATTCCTCCAGTATTGGACCACCCCATGACTTCTTCTCTTGGGGGACCTACATCTGTGACACAGGATAGGATTAGGCCCTGATGGTTAGGGCCGTGGGCAGGGGGCAGGGAGAAACATGGACCAGCAGCCCTTTGCCAGGGGGCCATTGTTTTAGGCCAGCTTGAGAATCTCGCAGCTAAACCACTGTCCACCTCAGCCCATAGGAGCAGCCCTGTTGTCTGTCGATGGGCGTGTGAGGGAGGTGAGCAGTTGCCCTGCCCGTCGGAAGGGCCCGATGTGGAGGCACATGGCACATTCGCCTAGAGGCAGGTGGCTTTCCTCAGAAAACAATGCAAACATGTTCCCCATTGGTCTATAAAACCCACCTCAGCCTGGTTCCCTCATGCGGGACTGTGAGCACCCGTGTTTGGGTCTGTACTGGAGTCTTTCCAAAGCCATTTTTGCCTTTGACCACCTCCACTGTGAAGACCACAGCCAATGGCTACATGGTGATTCTCTGGAGCTAGCTGTGTTCATGCTAGCAGGGAAGAGTCCCGTTTTCAGGCTGCGTACTCCCCAAGCACAGATTCTTTCTGAAAGGGAAAGAAAGGGAGAGGCGCCCGCGTGAGATGGTGAAGGCAGGGTTGAGCAGGCTATGCTCCTGACCGTGCTGGCCGTGTGGCCGGAGGTTTGCCCAGGATCGTAGTCATGTAGCTTCTGGACAGTTGGGTTCAGCATCTGCATCCACCACTCACTGTTCATGGCTGCGCGGGTTCCGAGAGACCTGTGTTCCTGCACTAGCTGGAGGGGGATGGGGGAGCACTGCCTTTCCAGTGCCTACCCAGGCCCACACACCCTGCTCGTGTGTTGCGGCCTCTGGCTCGCTGTTGTATACTCACGATGTTCTTGTCCCCTTTCAGCACGATGCTATATTCGGGATCCTTAACAAGGTGAAGCCTTCCTACAAATCCTGTGCCGACTGCGTGTACCCTGTAACCAGTGGGGCTCCTGAGGCCTTCAGGGAGCGGGGCGAGAACCCTGGAGCTCCCGCCATCTGTACCCAGCCAACCTTCCTGCCCCACCTCACTTCCTCCCCTGTGGCCCACACGTCCAGCAGATCCCGAGCTTTAGAGAAACTGGCGTCTGGCCCAAGCGAGAGTCCCCCATTGGTACCACCAGCAGGCTCGAGGAGGTCAGACGTCGGTGGCTCCGGGGCCGCGGCTGCCCCAGAACTACCAGCTAGCCTTTTGGAATCTTCCAGAGAAACCCAAAAAGTCCTGCCAAAGTCCCTCCTTTTGAAGAATTCTCACTGTGATAAGAATCCTCCAAGCATGGACGTAGCGAAGGATGAATCGCCGCCCAAGAAAGATCTGAAACCGGCCAAGGACCTGCGGCTTCTGTTCAGTAAAGAAGCCGAGAAGCCGACAACCAACAGCTACCTGATGCAGCACCAGGAATCCATCATTCAGCTGCAGAAGGCGGGCTTGGTCCGAAAGCACACCAAAGAACTGGAGAGGCTGAAGGGCACGCCCGCAGACCCAGCGTCTCCCTGCAGGGACGGCCCCGCCGGCAGGCTGGAGGCCAGCGTCCCCGAGGAGAATCCTGATCTGGCTCCTGTCCACCCGCCAGGGCCCCCGGCCCTGCCCAGTCTCGCTGGGAGCGATGACAAGTCAGAGGCCATCCCGCCTCCGTTCGAAGGCGCCTCACTCAAGAGCCCCACTCCCTTCCTCTGCCGCCTGGATCACACCAGTCACTTCTCAAAAGACTTCCTGAAGACCATCTGCTACACCCCCACGTCCTCCTCCATGAGCTCCAACCTGACGCGGAGCTCTAGCAGTGACAGCATCCACAGCGTCCGAGGCAAGCCAGGCCTGGTGAAGCAGCGGACGCAGGAGATCGAGACCCGGCTCCGGCTGGCGGGCCTCACCGTCTCGTCCCCACTGAAACGCTCACACTCTCTGGCCAAGCTTGGAAGTCTCAACTTCTCGACAGAGGACCTGTCCAGTGAGGCAGATGCGTCCGCCCTCACCGACTCCCGGGACGCCAAGTCGAGCGAGTCTTCCTTCTTGCGTGAGCCCCAGGCGACCCCAAGGAACCCAGCCACGACCTCTCAACCATCAGGGAAATCTGCTTCAGAACACTTGAGAAGCCCCTCGTGGATGAGCAAAAGCTGACCCGCCTCTTGCTGTATTCGGACATGTTTTCACGTGGTCCCTCCCTCTGTTTCACTGTGGGTTTTGGCCGTGATGTCTCTTAAATGATTGACATTCTAACTCTCCCCACTCTCGCCGCAGAGAGGAGGAGAGAAAACAAGAATAACCCAGCACAAGAAGAAAGGGGGGGTGATGCCAGTGGGGTGGCCCAGGAGAGCCAGAAGCCGTCGGCCAGTAGATACAAAACTCCGATCCCCAAGTCCTGTGTTTTCAGGAAGAATCCTGTTCTTAAAAAGAGCATATACAGATATGCACACACATCCCGAATACTCCATTTGCACCGTGCAAAAGGGTGGCAGTGGTGACATTTCTGTCGCCACGGCGCACGTTCCTAGCTCATTCAGGCCCTTGCGGGGAAACCCTTGGATGGCAATATAAGTCCTACCTCTGTTCTTGCTGTGCTTTTTATTTTTAAAATACAGTAGTGACCAAGGCTCCTTCCAGGGAATAATGCTGTGTCAGAAAAGGTTTTTCCAAAAGAGAATTTTTTTTTTAATTTTTATTTGGTGGGGACCCCCAAAAAGTGTTAAAAGACTTTTTAAGTCGACTGCACCCACCACCGCTAGGTAAAGTTAGACAAGGCCGTGGAATGCTGTTGTTGAACCAACTCTGTGGTGCGTGGAGATCATCTGTGCAGTTGGATTCCTTGTCCTGGTGTGTTGTCCCAGCGGAGCGGCGTGTGTCTGGCCGGCCCTGGGGTGAAGAGGGGGGATGTGTATATGGGACGTCCTCAGTCATTGCTAATGCTGACGTGTAAGTTGCCCCTGGTCTGGGGAGAAGGACCCAAAAAGCATCACCGCGCCTCATCTGCTGCTAAACCCGATGTGGTTGCGTTGAGGCTTTGAAAGCGCTTGAGCGTCTGGCAGGGGCGGTGGGTCCGAGACGTGGATCGGCCTGCCAGGAGCCCGGGCCCTTGGGCTCATGAGGTCACCGGAGCATGTTCGGGGAGGAAAGGGGGCTTTAAGCGGTCATGAGCAGCTCTGCCAGTCGCTCTCCAGGAACAGCCCTGCAGCTTCTCGGAGAAACAAGACCATTGAAAAGCTTCACAGATGTTTACAGTCGCCCCTTCCTTCCATGAGGCTACTGTTCCCTATCTCTCTTTGGCCCTTCCTAGCGGTGAGGACAGAGTAGAGGAGGGGTAGGGGTCTGTAGTCCTGGCCTGGGCTGGGGGGTGGGATGGGGGGGCCTTCAGAATCAGGTGAGCTGAGCCTGTGACACTCACTGGCCCGGGCCCCGGGCCTGGGCGGAGGGAGTCCGCTGGTGTCGGTCGGCAGGACGGGCTGTTTAAAGTATTTTGAAGAGAGAGAGAGCAGGGAAAAGGGCTTGGTAGTAAGGCAGAAGGGTTTCATCCAGGGAGTCCGCAGCGCTGTTATACAGACCCGTGAGCTAAGGATGGCTTTTATATTTGTAAGGGGTTATTAAAAACAACAACCTAATCTGCAACAGGGACCGTGTAGCCTGCACAGCCCAAGATCCTCACGATCGAGCCCTTTCTAGAAAAGGTTTGCTGACCCTTGGTTTCATTTGACAACACAGGGCTGCCCGGGGCCCTCCAGGAAGAAACTGGCAGATCTGAAGCCCTCCTCCCCTGCCTCTTGGACACCTCAGGCCCAACCCTTGCCTTCTCCTGACCCAGACCTTGCCCACCCACCCCTGCGTGCTCTCCTGCAGGGTGGGGGTAGCTGCGTAGGTATGGGGCGCTGCCGGCTGAAGCTTTCTTTTGCACTCAGCTGTCAGCCAGATGTATTCAGTGGAACTAGAAGCCTTCCGGCGCCAGCCAAGCTCAGAAAGTGGCCGAAGGAACTGCCATCTTGTATCTTAACAGTGGTCGGACCTGGGTCCCCGAGAGCAGCCAGAGAGCACCCCAGGCAGGGTCTTCAGGAACAAGGGTGGACAAGGGTGGTCCACATTTCAACTGGTGGGTGGAGTTTGTGCCGAAACACTCTCTCCAGGAACTTTTCCTCCCCAGTGTTGTTTTTTTTTTTTTGTTTTTAACATAATGTTATTTTATAGGAATTTGTTTTCCCACCCCTGTCAATTGAAATCACCTTAAAAGGTGATTATCTACTTCTTCCTGGAAACCCTATTGGGGTTCCCCTCCCCTGCCCCCCGCCAAAAGAAACATCATTCTCCAAAAACATAATTGAGTTCAATATGTTTTGCCAAATTAAATTTCGCGAGGTGGCTCCATTTTTGTGTCAGATGATCCTTTAGATTTGATGCTGATGGGCTTATGTTGCTCTTTTAACCACACGTCTGGTGTGTGAGAACAATATATTTTTGCAAACTTTAATTTTGAAAGCGTAGGAGGAGGATTACAAATTGGAGTGAGTCTTCGGCCTTTGGTGACCCTTTCGTTTTCACAAGCACGGCTTGTAGGTCAGCATCTACACAGACCAGGGCCCGGGTCCCCATTATCAAAGCAAAATGGTGGCGTTCTTGATTGGGTGGATAACACCGTGGCCTGGAGGAAAGTATACGAACTTTTTTCCATGACTCACTGGCCTCTGAAAAGAAAGTCTGTGCCATAAGATAGGCCGCATCTTGACCAATGCTCTGTCTGGAATCTTTGCTGATGGCAAACGTGCTGAACGTGGGGGGCACAAGTGGGAGGCGGGGGTTTCTGCTGGTGAAAGCCATTGATCCTGGTGACCACCATCTTCAGGGAATGTCCTTATTGAAATGGAGAGCGGGATTTTTCTAGATCAGCTGGATAATCTCCCTGAGTCTTGAACTGCCTTTCATGTCCCACCTCGCCTCTGTCTCTTCTACTGTAATTCAGGCGGCGTGCCGCAAGTTAGACTGACCTTCCCTCCATCTTCATCTTGCATTGATCCGGGGTGGGGTAGAGGGTCTTCTTGTCAAGCTTTGTTAAGTACGAGGGGGAAACCGGATCCGGAGAGAGGAGGAACCACGCTGCCCTCTGATCTTGATTCCATAATGCCAATTTCAGTTTCTCTGCCTTCATGCTACTTTAGGGTGTTGAAGCGATGGTCACCGCTGAAGAACCTCAGCACAAGGCTTCTTGCTCTTGGCATTCCCCGTTTCTTTGATCTCTTCGCGGGGACCCATGCCGACCTCTGGGTGCCCAACAGCACGCTCCTGGGTGGTGACACCGTTTGCATGCGTGAGATCACTCACCAGCTGCTCCCAGGTGGCCGCACTGTCCAGCCTTCCCTTCCGTTCCACCCCACCCCTCTAGCCAAAAACCATTCCAGCCCATTCTTAAAGCCTTTTCCCCCCTGGATAAGCCCAGAGGATGCCACAGGGTGGAGCCAAAGTTGCAAGAGCATTAGCATCTTCAGGACAGCCCTGTACTTCGGCACTCTTGTCTCTCCACCCTGGCCCGATCCCAGAAGGTTCATGACTCCCCCGGCCCCCCTGGGGCCTTTCCTCCCCAGTGAGAAGAATTGATGCGTCATTTAGGCACGGTCATATACGTGACCTAACCCAAAATCTCTGTTGACCAGAAAGGCTTTGTTCCAGAATACATTCCGCCCAACCCTCCTCTGGCTGGCCACCTAGCAGAGCTTCCCCCGGACCCGGTGAGGACAGCCACGTGACCTCCGGCAGGAGAGCTAGGCAGGCTAAGGAACTGGCGACACTTAGCACAGCGAAGGTGCCCCCACTCCGCTGCCATCCCACAGGTTCTTGCCAATGCTGCATGCCAAACAAAGGGAGTTGATTGAGCCCCCCATGCTCAGCTACTTGGTCTTTTTATTGTGTACTCTGCAACTGCATACTTATGTATATGAGCTCACTCTGCATACATACATATATATATATGCATATATATATATGCAACTTGAATCAAATCATCTTGTGGGTCACTTCTCTCCCATCCACATACATGCTGTGTCACCCTAGTACAAAGCGGATCACCTTGACCGATGTGGAATGGGGCCGTGTGCAGCGCTACTCCTTGGAGACCCGGACATTGACACCCCCCCTTTTTGTCTAGCGGTAGGTGCCACGGCCCGGCTTCGGTCAGTCTCTGCAACAGGAGTCTTTACAACCAGCCCCCCCTCAGCCCCTCTGCTGTCCTTTGTGTTGGCCATGCCACACAAGAAGGTGGCTGCTTCCTCCCCCTTTTCCGACACTGTAATTATTGTTTTACAATTGAGTGCCTTAATAATAGTTTACAAATACTGTGTATTTATGGGAAACTGGTAAGCTCTCACCTTCTGTGATTGGACCTTTGCCTTGTCAGTGGTGGTTAGCGTGAGGGCTGGAGCTCGCCCTACCCCGTGCTTGTGCTCATCTGCTGTGCGATCGTATGCGGGGGTGGGGGGGTGCCCCCCGCAACTGTCCAAGGAGCTTTGGTGGTTCCTGCAGGCGAGGCAGGCACTGGCTTACAATGTGTCCCACGGTAGCAAGGAAAGCACAGAACTTGGTTTGCTAGCCAGCCGGGGGTGCACTGCCCCCTCCCCCCATCACACAGTTGTACTCTTGTTTAATAGAGCTGTGTTACCACCCAGGCCTCCCTGTTTTCTCCTCCGTTGGTGTCCTGAGCTCGCTGCAACCAAATGCGGGGACAGACACCAGCCCCTGCAAAATCAGGAGCTCTCTAAGATAAGTTCTTTGGTTCTCAGAAGCTGCCAGTGGGTTCCAGCGTGTTGCGTTAAGAGATCAATGATTTTTTTTTATTCTATTGTTTTTCTTCGTGTTTTTTTATATTATATATTTAAAAGGCAGTATCTTTTGTACTGTGAATTTGCAGTAGAAGATGCATAATGCACTTTTTTTTTTTTACTTCTGTTGGTGTGTACTGTAATAGTCTGTGTGCTTGTGATGAAAATAAACTTTTTCTTTATAAACGTTTGACGACCTGTGAACTCATGCAAAAGGAAGCTGCTTCTTCAGTCCTTGCCAAGACAGTCAGCATATCTGCATCATCCTGACAGCCAGTCTTTACTGAGCACCTACTTTGTGCTAAGCCCCATGCTATAGAAACCCGGACACATTAGACGGAAGAAAGAACAAGGGAACAGATGTTAGCTCCTCTAGGAATTGTCTTGTTTCTCCTCCCGATTTTATTAGTAAGGAAGAGCGGGCCCGCATGTGGGTGGTCATTTGTACACCCAAAAAAACCTGTCCCTGCCAAGGTGGGACTTGGACTCTGGGAGGTGTCTCTTCTTGCTCGAGTGTGTTCAGCACCACCACCTAAGCTAGCCCAGCCGCACGTCATGGGAGAGGAGACTGTGGAGGCTGATTACTGCTGGTGGCCAAGGCAAGAGTCCCAGGGAACCTCAGTTGTGCATACAACAAAGGCTGATCTTCTGCCCAGGTCCCAATCCACTGCAGGTCAGGACCCTTTTGGTGGCTCTCCTCCCTTGGTGACTCACGAAGCTGAGCTGCTTGTGTTTTAAACCCTGCTATCTTGGTGTCCTTTGCTCTGGCTGCGCAGTCAGGGGAAAGAGCATGGGGACTCACATTCACTCCAAGAAACACTATGTTTCGTTCACCTCGCCTTGCTGTGTCTGTCGCCTGGGCTCATAGGAGACTGATGGGTAAAGCAGAATGCAAGCGGATTACTTGAGAGCAAGAATTAATAGCTGTCAAGCAGGTCCGAGTACTCTCACTTGTCAATGAGCACACGGAGTCCTCTAGACAAATCTACATTTGAAGCCAAATTAGGGTTAGGAATTGTTTATGGAGTAGGAAATCAAAGCAAAAGGTTAAGGTGGGGTGGGGTGGGGGGTGATTCCTGTGGTTAGTGCCAGCACGCTTCAGGGCAGTCCTTTCTGTAAGATGTTCGTGAAACCAAACCACTGAGGGTCCTGGTTCAGGACAGGCTTCGTCGTTGGCAAGGCTGGAGACACCTCCTAAATTCTCTTCAGGCTCCAAACATGAATCAGAGCCTGGGGAACGGGCCCAGCACTCTGTACGCTCCTGATGGATTCCCTGGGAATTCTAATGGCCAAGCACAGAAACCATCAAAGTAAGAGTGTGATGCAATGGGGCAGGTTTCCACTTCACTAGCCACGATCACATTCCACACAGCTTCCTAGAGACAACACCCACATCCCCCTAACAGAACCCGGATGATCCCCAAACTCGTCAGATATTCCATTTACCCAGGGCCCTAGGAGACCGTTCCTATCATCGGCTGATTTTTACCCTGATTTCATCCTCAGAGTAATGATCCTGAGGTTGGAGTGTGATCCCAGGTTACGCCACCAGCGGGGGTAGTTTGTAGAGGAGGACAACCCCCTCCAGCCCCCCATCCTCCCCCCTCCCACTTGCTGTTTGTGTTCACGCTTGGAGAAGCCCCTCTTGGCCAGATGCTTGGAGGAGGCTCCAGAAGGCGGGGCTTGGGGAATGACTGGTCTTTCAGAAGGATTCACCTCACGGTGGGGAAGCCCTTTCTAAAGATGTCCACCAACAGCGTCCAAAGTGAGCCCTGCTCAGAAAACCCAGCTATGCATCCTGTACCCTAGCAGGAGGGAGCAGATTCTACCCGCCCTTCTGTATACCTGGCACTTTACGTAAGGAATCCCGGAGTCCTCGAAACAGCCCTGTTGATGTGATCCGCAGCTCACACATGAAGAGACAGGCCTGCAGAGGGCAAGTGGTTTGCCCACGGTTACATCTGGGAAGTGGTGAAGCCAGTAGGTACTGCTTATTCCCCGCCTGAAACCTTACCCAGAGCTGTCCCCACCCCAGAAGTAGAAAAAGCAACCTGAAGATGCATCTTGGTCTCCCTATAGGTATCAGCAAGAAAACACAGGAGTCAGGAATGAAGCCTCCAGCCCCTGCAAAATCTGACCCACGTCGTGCTCCAAAGGCTATTTGGACGACAAAAAGGTGTGTGTGTCTCTTTCCCAAGTCCTGTCCACCATTTTTTGCCTTTAAAGGGAAACCGCTCTTGCATCCTGAAGTATAGTTGTAAAGGGTCCCATTCCAGCTCAAAAGTCCTCTTGTTGTAAACTGTTCCAGCAAATAAAATGTTGGTGTTGGCAGGAACAGCCTCCCAGCGTAGGAAAGGATGCATAAGACCCTGATGCGAAGAGACAGATTCTCCTGCAGGTGGTATGTTGGAGGTGGTGAGCTGTCTAGTTTGGAAGTCGGATATCAAAATGGGTTAAGGACAATGCTACCTACCTCGTGGAGCCAAGAATTTGAGAATTAGCTGATAATGTATGCAACCCCCTTTGGCCTGGCCCACCACCCATGTTGTATCATGGTGGCTGTTCTTGTTGGGACTGGTGGGAGGGAAGGGGGGACGGAAGCGGGAAGGAAGTAGCCTACACTGAGCATCTACTGCTTGCAAGTTTAACATATATCACTGGGTTGGTCCTCACAACAGATTTGACCCCCTTTTACAAACAAAAAAGTGGAAGCTCAGAGAGGTTAGGGAATGTGGGTCAGAGCCACACAGCCAGAAAGGGACGAAAGTCCAGGATGCTTGACTCCAGATTCATATACCTTCTACCCCACCATCCTCTCCCCAAAGAAAATAGTCCATAGTGTACTTAGTGCAATGCTGAGCACATAGTAGGTGCTTAATAAATATTTGATGATTGTGAATGAGCATTCATTTGATGATTGTGAATGAAATGTGCTCTGAAAGCGAGTCCTCATTTCATTCACCAAGGCCTGGAAAGTTTGGGGACACCCATGATTGCCTAAACCAAGTCCCTCTGGGGCAGGGTCGGTACCTGACACCTTCTGGACCCCAACAAGGGCTTGGCATATTGGACCAAACCTTAAGTCAGCACCAGGCATTAGCTATGAATCTAAGAATCCTGAGTTTTTTGGAGTCCAGAGCATCTGAAAGGTCATCCAAGCCAGGTCCCTTTATAACATCCATCCCTTCTGGCATTCTCCCTCCTCCCCCCGCCCAATTTGCGGCTCCCCTGCCATGTGCCAGGCGCTGGGGACAAAGAGGAGGCCATCTGTTTCATCCCTGGGGGTCCTGACAGAAAGCCCTTCTGTAAACGACAGGAAGAAAATACACCACCTGCTAACAGAAATGGAGTCAGACAGGTAGGAGTCAAGGTTTATGTTTTTTCCTCTTTTTCCCTATTTTCCCGCATCTCTGCAACAGGGTTCTGTTACTTTTATAATGAAAAAGAGAAACGTAAAGATTTAATAAAAGGATGCTTTTGTATTGAGCTAAAATTTGCACTGTAAACTCCCAGGCTCTTGGCTCTGGGGGACTCAGCACAGCATTTTGCGGGAGAAGGTCTTTGCTCCCCTCTGATGAGCTGGCACAGCCCTGGGAACAGACAGAGTGTTCCCAGATTGCAGTGGCTCAGTACCCTGCTCTGTGAGCTTCTCCAGGCTACTCAGGCCCACCCTCTGAGCGTCTGGGGGGTGGTGGTGTAGCATCCAGGGTAGGCTTCACGGGCAGCTGCACAGGACTCTGCACTTACCAGGGCACTGCGATTGGTCTGAGGCTCTGCTTGTCACTCTTGAAATCCTTAATAATTCTTTTTTTTAAGATTTTATTTATTTATTAGAGAGCATGCACACATGGGTGGGAGAGAGAGGGGGGAGGGGGAGAGGAAGAAGCAGGCTTCCCGCTGAGCAGGGAGCTGGACATGGGGCTCGATCCCAGGACCCTAGGATCATGACCCGAGCGGAAGGCAGATGCCTAACCGACAGCCACCCAGGCGCCCTGAAATCCCTAATAATTCCTTAACAAAGACCAGGCCTTTTCATTTTGCAACAGGGTCCTGCAAATTACGTAGCCGGCCCTGGCAGTGTCACCTGTCCAATCAAGGGCTTCGGAGGAAGACAGGCCTGGACCCCAATCCCAGCTCCCTGACTCACCTGCTCTGTGCCCTGGAGCAAGTGACTTAACCTCCCCGTGACTCAGTTTCCCAAGGTGAAGAACAAAAATAACCTCATAATGCTGTGCTAGAGATCGGCACTGGGTAGTTAGCACCAAGTACACCCGCCTGAATTTTAGTGTTATGTGTTACATGAAGTACTTAGTACAGGTCCTGGCCAAAGTAATCCTTCGGTGAGTCGTTGCTGGAACAGTGGGGAAGACTGGGTAGACACGCGCAGATCAGACCCTGCTGATGGGCAGCTCTCCTCCCCACCCGGCTTCCTTAGCAGGGCTCTGAAGGGCAGAGGGAGGCAAGGGGGAGGGGGACTCCGCTGGGGTGTGCACACACATCCTCCCCACCCCCGGCCACTGAACCCTCCGAGGACGCTGGCTCTGCGTCTCTCCGGATACAAACACCGCCCGTCCCCGACCTGGCCCCGCGTGGTTCTTTGCAATAAAGCCTTTGGGAGAGGGAACGGCGTGGGCGGCCTGGGAGCGTGGGCCTGTCCCTGCTGCGATCCAGCGGCACATCCTGTTCTGGCGTTGCCATGGCACAGCCAAACATCTGCCACAACAGACGGCCGTGGCCGGCGGCTGGCAGCGGGGCCGTGGCCAGCCACGGGAGGCCGGGGTGGAAAGGACGCAAGACGCAGCAAGACTGGAGCTGAACCCGGACCTGGGAAACCTCCTCGAAACCAATCCCACCCCCCTCCCACCCCACCCCACCCCACCCCACCCCAGCCTCCGCCGCAGATGCATGCACATGCACGCGCACAGGCACGCGCACCCGCACCTGCACCCGCACAGAGCCGAACGCAGGCGCGCACGTGCACACGGTGTCTGGAAGGCCTCCGGGACCCGCGCGTCTCCCCTAGGGAACAGTGCCTGATTCCCGAGGTTCTTCCTGGAGGTCCCGGGAGAAGATCCCAAGTGCCCAGCCCTAGCAGGACGGTCCCCCCACCCCCGCCACCCCGAATTCTCATCCTGGCCTAGCTCACAGCCAGGCTCCCAGAGCTGCCCTTAGGCGGCCCCATCCTG